ATCATGATAGTAAAAATGGGGAACTCACATTTCATGTCCTGCATCACGAATCTTGGCCATCTCATCTGGAAACGTTTCTATCGTATGGCCTGGAATATACCAAGATGCTTTGATATTTTTGCGGTCCCAAAGAGCCAGCAGGCGTTCAACGCCTCTGGTTGCGCCGAAAACGCCTATCAAAATAAGTTGGCCAGTGGATTTGTTACATTTTAGTAACGACATACCTCGAGACACATCAGTCAGATTTGGCTTTCCACCAACTGTTGTATTGATATGATTTGCCACGGCATCGACGTCGATGCCGTAACCAACGAGAACACGTTTCTTGCCCATATCATATCCTTGCTACAGGGCAGACAACACAAAGTGACAGACGAACCTGGATATCGAAAGAAGTCTCGGGCAAACTGATAGACTGAGTAATAACCCTCTGGCTAGAACTCATGGACCAAATGAAATCGAGTTCAAGTAAGATAAGTTCCTGTTCATGAAATGATGTTTTCGGATAAGGACGTGACGCTTGATATCGAGGTGCGGCAATCTACATGAACGGCACCCCTCGCATGAAACGATCGCTTGAAGTAACGGTACTTGTTGTCTCCGGCTTTTTATTGGTGACTAATTGTCTATAGGTGTAAGAAAGTGCTTGTGTGCGGGAGACACCCGTGGCGATGCGGAGTTGCGCGAGGTGGGGAAATCTTCCCAATGCAAATCATTACTAGCACCTGTCCCTAATTAAGACTTCGGCAATTACTCTGATCAAAGGGTCCCTACTGTAACGGAATTGGCCATCGAAAGGCACCGCATCAATCTCGGTTGAAGGCCGATTAGTTCCAAGGGTTCTATCACTAGACTCGAATCTTTGCTAACCCATACTGTTCTATATATGTGCCCTTGTGTCTTTCGTTTGTACGTATAAGTGACGTATTCGGCGTGTAGCTTGGCACGAAAGGCATTGGCAGTATGGCATCAACTCCTGTTCCTCCCAGAAGGTGTTTCCTTCAGGGGTCTCCAAGAGAGGTGAGGCATTTGAGCGCTTAGATAAAGCTGTTTCTCATTATCATTCCTAGATCGGTATTCAGCATGGGCAACAGCTCAAGGAAGAAATCGCGCGGCAAGTTGTTGTCTACGAGGCTATGTTTCGATCAACATCGAAACTTGACTGGCCCGCTGTGCGTGAGATTGCCAAAACTTACCGCGCCACTGTCGAAAAGTTGACACCAGAAATTTTTGAGGAGATGGAAGGCATCGCAGAGGGCTCTGGTCTTGATATCCTTGACATAGTTGCCCTCAACTGCCGGAGTGAGATCGCACTTGGACTGTTTTCAGACGGGTGCTCGAGTATGGGATGGCAAACCAAGAGCGACGGTGTGATTCTTGCGCAGAACTGGGATTGGACCGCCAGGGTCAAAGAGAACTGCGCCTTGTTATCAATCGAACAGCCGGGAAAGCCAACGGTACACATGATGACTGAGGTGTGAATTGATCGTTATCATTGGTATTTTTTGACCCTTTTATATTAACTATCATTTGACAGGCTGGTCTCGTCGGGAAAATTGGCTTTAATTCGGCATCGGTTGGCGTGTGCCAGAATGCGATACGTGCTCGTCCGACTGATTCATCAAAGCTGCCATACCATGTCGCCTGTCGAGTCGCTTTAAATAGCACGAGCCTGCCTGAAGCGATTGCTTCTATTCAAGCTCTCGGTAGCACAGCTTCCACGCAACATCTTTTGCTTGCTGACTCTACTACTGGCCCTGTCAGTTGTGAATTGTCTCCGCGAGGAGATGCATTCATCAAACCCGATGAAAATGGCGTTGTCTGTCATACCAACCATCTTATTGCCAACAAGTATGTCGATGAACCGCCATGGCTTGCAGGATCACCGGTGAGGCTTGAACAGATGCGTAAGTTGACGACTGCCCTCGTGGAGCAGGGAGAAGCTGTCAGCGGCGACTTGCTGAGAAGACGAGTCTTCAGCGATACGTATAACGCACCGCAAGCTATTTGCTGTCATGAGGATCCGAAGCGGCCTGTAGAGACGAGAAGTAGTACTCTCATGTGTATTGTGATGAAGTTTGTCAATGGTTGCGAACCATCCGCTGAAGTCGTCTGGGGTCAACCTGGGACAGGGCGGGAAGGCGGCGTCATTAAATTACCTTAAGTAACATAAATCAATATGTATATAAAAAGACATTCAGAGAGCCCAATTCATAAAGTCATCACCGGCGGCCATTGCGTCCCAGTCCACATTCATGAACACCTCTAAGTTATCCTCTAATGGGCCCCAGTATGTTGTGTCATCGAACATAGGGGTGACCTCAAGCCTTGAGGCGCTGGCTATTAGATCATCTCTCTCAACAACTTCGGTAGCGTCGCGGCTCGGAATGCTTGCCAGCAAGGCCGCGTTGTCTGCGGCTGGCCAGAACAAAAGCGCGCGCCGCGTCTCAAAATGCTCTGCGAGTGATTTGCAAGCCGGCCAGCGACTAGCTAAAATCAACTGATAGCATGTTGGTACGGTAAACATCACCACAGCGGGCATGAATGATTGCTTGGGTTGACTCACGAAAGCTTCCGAGAACTGATTCAATAAACCCATTACACGACCGTTAGAGTAAGCCTGGTTAAAAAGTGGAATGTTGTCAAGGACAAGTATTGCCGAAGAGTGGCACTGATGGGCACAATGCCAGTCAAATTTCAGGAAACCCGTCTGCATCATGCCTAAATACCCATAGAGAGTTGTCGTTACAGCGTCGAAACAGATCAATTTAGACGAATCTGTCGGAGAGGGATTTCGAGGGCAAGGCATATGCAAGTAGAAACGTACTGTTGACATGACGAAGTCAAACCAGTCGGGTCCCGAATCACTCAGAGATATCACAGCTTCCTTCCACGAGTGAAGTCGGCGGTCCATGTCCATCATCCATTCTGAATACGAGGGAAATTCAACACGTGCGTTGCCAAAATTAACGGTGTATATCTCGGACTCAAGCTGTCGTAGCCGGACATGATTTAACCACTGCTGGCGCTTTCTGTATGAGACAACGACTTCCTCATGCGATCCCAGTTCTTCATTGTCATAGCTTAGCTGATCTGGGGCCATGATATCAATCTGGTCATCTGAAATTCCCAGTGTTCTGAATCCAGCCACCGATATTGATCGGTCCATTGAGTATAACTATTAATGTATCAGCATCTTGGCGGAATAGATCACGAAGCCAGTATGACTAGAATCTGACTTACGACCCAAAACACTCGAGCTCTAAGTTGAAGGGTCTCTTGATCCAGAGCATGCCAGGCGGGATCTGGCTGCTTGTGAAGACCAAGTGCAATGGCCATTTTAATTGCCGTCTCTTTCGCAGCCCAAACATTCGCAGTCCCAGGCCGGAAATTTGCAAACTGGAATACTAACATCGTGCATTGCAAAGTCTCTAAAGAGTTGGTGGGAAGATACTCATATCGAGCTATTGCATATCGGAATAACGCATCGCTGAAAGCCATGACTTTATCGATTTCGACGGATCCTGAGGTCATAGTGCTAATAGCCATGACCATTGCAATGATGAAACGGCTTACATGGCGTGGAGGACTGTTGTATACCGTGCCGTATTGAGCATTGATTTGAGAAGCCTGCAGGAAAGGATATTGGGGTAGAATTTTGTCGACATAAACACGGATCAGTACATCAGCAACATGCTTTGGTACGGCCTCGAGCTCCAGAGGAACGGCGTCCCCGTAATTGCTCGATGTCAACCCTATCTCATTCCTGCTGTCCAATTCGCCCGGACTCAACTTTGGAAGACTGGAGGAGGTTGACAAGGAGCTTGCCAACAATATTCCGAGAGATCTGTCTTCCTCGGCAGACGAGAGCTCACTTGTAATTCTGCTCAAGAAGCCATAGACGTCTCGTTGAAATGGGAAACTTGGCTGTGCGGTCCGGGATGAGCTGACTTGAGTGTTGAGACATAATTCAGCCTCCATAGCAGTAATTTCATTCTGTAGATGCTGTATAATGCTGAGTCTTGGCGTCAGTGCCAATGTGCCTAGTAATGCATGCTGATATTCAGCTGTGACGCACCTTCTTGGTAAAGGGGCTGCTGTTACCCTGTCGATTCCTACGCAAACGGCCCCAGCTTGCAGACATCTGGTGCATGATGGGGTACGACTATCACACTGCAACATGTATGAGATAACACTCTACACAAGGATGCAAATGCTGTGGCTTTGCGAAACTTACTTTTCGTTTCTGTTTGAAACAACGTGCACATGCATAGGTGGTTCTGCTCATATCGCTTTGTTATGTGTGCCATTTGCAGTGATTATCAGACAAAGCATGAGAATGGGGGTATACCTACACGCCGAAGTGGAGAAGTTTGGCGCCGAGGACGGCGTCTCGATAACCTTACTAAGTCAGGCAGTCAGTTATTCATTCCTCTCCCGGGGTTATCGCCAGCCCGCAGACTAAATTCGAGTTACTCTTCCGCCAGGGTAATAAATGTTAGTTCGCCAAGGGTATTACTAACTCCTCAACAAGACATTACTACCTTTGTAGAAGTTAATGGACCCATAGTCATAAACAGGATATTCGAGAGCTTTACGAGTTTCACCACTCTCAATATTGAGTATCTTCACCCTTCAAGAATTGACGTTTATTACCCTGGCAGAAGAGTACTTTTATACTTCAACTCACTTGCTTAACCTGGTCGACACACATCATTAGTACTCTTACCCAGATTCGTTAGTTCAGAAAACTGTTCGCGCTGCAGCCACACTCATTTGTGAACAAGCAGCTATTATTTCTTTAATTTACAATCTCAATAGACCAATTACGAATGGCAGGTATCGAGCTTGTGCTCCATATTCGAAAAGAATTGTTTTAATTTCAATTCTTTTTGTCTAGTAGCGCGTTCTGACTCTACCTTAGGACTGCTTCTCAAACCACGTATAGACGAGTTGAACTGAATTATATCGCTTGATGTTGACTTAATATCATCGACTATCTATGCTTTCATTCTGCTTTCACGTTCGCGGATTACCGAAATCTCTTTCTCCAGCTCGGGCTTATTTCTCGGCACGAACTTCACACCGAACGTCTTTGGGCTGCTTAGCACGAGATCGGGGGTACAGCCAAATGTTCTATAGTCTTTTGGCGGCAGGTTTGAGGGCTCTGCCTCCATCTTGAAGCTTAGGATGATCCGCAGCAGGAGACCATACATTATACGATTTGCTATTTGCCAGGCGGGACAAATTCGTGATCCGATGCCGTAACTCGAATGCGGGACCGTGCCGAGCTTATCAAGGGACGGATCGCGCAGCCATCTCTCGGGATCGAAATCATGGGCCGTAGGACCAAAGACCTTCTCGTCTTTTGGTTCATTAGCAGATTAGTCCTTTACGTACATGTATCTTAAGGGCACTAGCAGATGACTTACCATGATTTCCCCCTTCAGAATTCATGTATAGAGTAGTGCCCTTTGGTATCGTGATACCAGATTTCAAATGAATATCTTCGTTCGCCGCATGTGGAAGGGACATGGGTAGTACGACATAGTTCCGCAAGATCTCCTTGTACAGGGCTGCAACGTACGGAACCTTTTCCTCTCGAAAAGCATGGATCGCTGCATCATTGTCCGGGTATGCTTCTGTAATTGCAGCGAATGCCTTTTCTTGCATTTCAGGACCATGTCCCTGAATCAGTCCGCCCATACCGGCTGTCAAGTGACTTGGGATGCTCTCTGTGCCACCTTGTAGCATACTTGTCGAGCACTTGACAGCATTCCCTGTTCATCAACAGATTAGCCACTCACGAGATCGACAATAACATGATAGAAAAACATACACAAAGACAAGTTGCTGGTCTCATCCGTCATGACTTGTGCTGCAACACATGTTGGGTTCTCGCCTGCTGATATTCTCGCCTTCAGGTCTTCTAGAACCTCCTGAATCATAGTCGTCCTCCTTTTCGAAGCTTTCTGGCCTTCGGCGCCCATTGCCCGGAATTTTGGGTGGAGTCGTAGGAACGGCACAAAGTCGCTCCAGGTATTTGATGCACCGCGAACCTTGGTAATAAGGCATGCATTATCGATATACTCGCGGAGCCATGGGTCGTTAGCCCCAAATTCCTTGTCAAAGGTGATGGACCAGCCGAGTGCCATTGCTACCACTTGCATATACGGTAGTGGATTGATAGCCTTGGTGCCATATCCACCCTGCTCGGCCAGATTGGCGATCAAACGGTCACCTTCGCGCTCAAGACAGGCGTAAAAGGACGGCCAAACGCTCGCTTTGACAGAGCGAAGAGCAGCAGTACGCTGAGCCTTGAAGTTTGCGTCTAGGGAATGGGAACCTAGGTCATATCCTGTACAATGTTTATATTTAGAATTACAAAGGAGTAATCTGGTAAGGTTGGATGATTAAAGATGAATCAAACGTACCGACATACTTCTCAAAGACGTATTGCCTCGGTCTTGCGTGGGAGCTAGCACCATTGATGACAAAGATCTCGCGGATACTCTCGAAGCTGTTGGCAATGACTACGCGGCGGTTGCCGAACTTGACTTGCAAAAGTTCAGAGCCAAGCTTCTGGGACCAAGCAGTCCATACGGAAGCATCATTTTTGCCAGAAGCTCCAGCGTGTAGATGAAGATGTCCTATGAATGGTAACGCTGAGGGCATTTCAGGGATACCTTGGATTTTAGGGATATCTGTGTGGTATGCATACTATAACTCTGTTCAGCCTCTCTGATGTCGTATAGTTCGAGTTTCACGATCATACCTTTGCAAGTAGAAGAAGCCCTAAAACAAATCCTGCTGTAAAAAGCGCAGCAGTTGAAGGATTCTGTAAGGCACGAAAGCTTACAAGAAAGGTTGTCTCGTCTAATACACTCATTACGTCTCTGAAAACATTCAGCTCCTTTGTTGAGAATAGAGAGGTCTTCTGTCTTGCGGGTCTGCAGCAATTTTATCCGTGTTTTGTCAAAGTGAATGAGTAGACATTAGGAGACTTCATCATAAGATGATTTCCAAGATCAATTGCTATAGAGGCACAGCGGATCTACCACAACTCCACACCATGGACGATGCACAGGTCAGCGGAGATGTGCGAGACCGCCAGTCGAAGATTCAGCCTCAGACTCTTTGTGAGACAACTTGCTATGATATGTCGAGTTACACCTCGGAAGCGGGGGGTGGTATCTCGTGTAACTAATTACGTTTCCTATGACAATCTACGCTCCAGCAAACTCACAGATTAGCGAATGATAAGTGCATTCCCGGGTACGATCCCGATCTCCGCACAGAGATCAATATTAAGAACGTAACTAGGGGTGAAATACCCAGGCTGATATCAGGGCGCCGTCTAAGTCCGCAAGACTAGGTCAACTAGTTGCGGAATTGCGCGCGATAATCGTGGATTATCAGTCTCCACAATTTCATCAGTGAAGAGAATTGCCTCTATTTGCTCTTATCTGCAACCTCCATGTAGTAGTAGGCATTCAAGTTCGCCATGCAAGGACAGTGAGGCTTGAGGTTTGGAAAGATTAATGCCGTGACCAGCACTGCAGTGGGTTGTGATACAAGAAGTTATCACTTCCCTGAGCCACCCATAACTTCGCAAAGCTAGATGCTTGATTGCATATTCCTCGAAGTATCAGGGTGACAATTAGCATTGCCAGAATTTAAATTCAATGGGTATCCTTACACCTTTAAGGACGGCGATATGGGGCAAGCCTGCTGCGACCAAAGCGGAACGTCGCCTTATCGTCAAAATCGACACCTTCATTCTTACCTCATGCTGTTTACAATATTGGGTCAACTAGTAAGCCGGTCGACTTGAAAGTATATGACATTAATACTAATAGCAACTAGCCTGGACAGATCTAATTTAAACAATGCATATGTGTCTGGCATGAAGCAAGACCTCAACATGGCAGGTAATGATCTCAATGTCATCAATACCGTCTTTTGGTGTGCCTACTTCCTAGGGCAAATTCCCAACAATCTTGCAATGCAATACTTCCGACCTCGAATTTGGATGCTGTTCTGCATGGTAGCCTGGGGTTTGTTGACACTGGGTACCGGTTTTGTGCACAATTGGAAGCACATCTGTGTCCTCCGCTTCTTCCAAGCGTTATTCGAGGGGAGCACTTTTGTCGGCACACACTATCTGCTTGGAAGTTGGTATAATGATGAAGAACTTGGCAAGAGGACTGGAATTTTCACATCAAGTGGCCTAGCTGGCACTCTGTTCTCGGGTGTGCTGCAGGGAGCTATCTACGACAGTCTTAGTAAGTCTTGACCATTTCCGTGTACTGTAACTAGCGTTCGTGTATTGACCTTATACAGACGGCAAATCCGGCCTCCCAGGATGGAGATGGTTGTTCGTGGTTGACTTCTTGATTACGATCCCCCTGGCTGTCTACACCTATGCTTGCTTTCCCGATACGCCACTTACAACTCAGGCTTTCTATCTGACAGCCGACGAAAAGGAGCTGGCAGTTGCGCGTCTAAATCGCCAACCCGAACATATTCACGGAGAAGTAACCAAGTCATCCTTCAAGCGCATCTTTTCAACCTGGCATATCTATGGCTTCTGCTTCATTTGGACTATGGGATCCAACTGCGAGATGTTTTCGTCTAACGCCGTCATGCAACTATACCTCTCAAGTCTGGGTACTTTCTCCGTCACCAAGGTCAACTACATGCCCGCAGGTGTCTCGGCGGTCGGCATCTTTTCTACCCTTGTGCTCGGCTGGTACTCGGACTTCACGCGCAGGTCCTGGCACATTGGCATTCTCCTCTCAGCCACGGCGGTGACTACCGCTGCCATAATGTTGCACCCGCCCAGCTTCGCCGGCAAGATGTTTGCGCTGTACCTGAACGGCTGCCAGTATGCCAACCAGACGGTCATGTTTGCGTGGGCGAACCGGCTGGTCAAGGACGATGAGAACAAGCGGTCCTTCATTGTCGCGGCTATGAACACGAGTGCTGTTGTCTTCTACAGCTTCTGGTCCATCAGCTTCTACGCAGCCAACATGGCGCCCATGTGGCGACGCGGTGCTATCGCTATGTTGGTGAGCGGGTGCCTGATGTGTCTTGGGACCTTAGTCGTCAAGCACTTGGAGGATCGGGATGCTAAACTACTTGAGATGACTCCTGGGATTGAAACACCTGCTGACGAGGGTGCTAGTGATGGAATGGAGGTTGAGAAGGTAACGGGCAGTGGAGATGTCAAGGCGTCTGCTTAAAAAGACTGGCGCGAGTTTCGAAGTTGTTCAGGATCAATGGCCATGGGTTTCGACTGGGTGGTTTCAGGACTCGAATGTCCATTGTAATTCAACTGCTGATACTGTCTGAATCAAATATTCCAGATACTTTTCAATTGAGTGCTATTGTTTCCATCCAGTCCTTGACTCGTTGTCATTCATTCTATATATATATATGCATCAATTTATCCCACACAGGCATCCATAGTTGGGGAAGATGCCTAGATTCGAGTTGTTGAGTTGCCAAAAGACTATGCTGCTCTTCATTATTTGTTGTGAAACCTGAACGATCAATGACCCGCATTGCTAAATTCACCGAGACAATGCATCACGCAAAAAGAAGTGACTATGATTTAGAAATGTATTGGGCTGCCTTAAATCTTTCCCTCGTACATAACCCCCACCCTTCGACCATTCGTGGGTAACATGAATCTGTTGTCTCTCTGATATAGATAAATCATAGTTCTTTAATCGAAGTTGGGAATCATTGGCGTTTCAAGGGTTCCGTTAGCGAACTAATAAGTAAGCCAAATCTAACAAGAACTCTAGACCAGCAACTCTAACAAACGTGGCTGACACGCTTAGAGTAGCGTGTCTTCAACCCTTAGTTAGTGCGTCATGTGGTAACATTAGAGAGTACCCAGGCCCGAGCTTTGAAGATCGCCGGTCGTACCGCGTACAAGACTGTTAAGCTTTCGGCCCTTGAGCCCAGAGCGCTGGTAGGGTCGAAGTATAGCCAGGAAAATGGGGCCCGCGAAAATCTGAACTCTTCCGTAATTTGCATCAAGTGATGCTATTCACAAAGGCGGCGCCGTGGCGCTGGTGAAGCGAAAAGCTGAAAAGACGGAAGGTGCTCTTTAGAGATTTGACGATGAACCCAGGGGCCCACAAAAGCAAGCTAGCCCGTATGCCCTGTAATTAGGTAGGGTTAGCGCCCACTAGCACACCAGCCTCTCCCATTTCCACTGCGCATGTGCTGAAGACGGACTCGGACCCGGGGCTGTGTGCTGCGGCAGCCCATGCTCCCACGGTATCCCTGCAGCTTATTTAGTATGGAGAGGTACATCCAACGCATAGGTGTGTATGGTACCTAGGCCAGAGCTCAGCGCAAAGGCGCCCTGACTATCCCACTGTAACTCATTAGCCAAGTGGAGGAGGAGCTCGGTTTTATTAAGGAAGCTTCCTCGAGCTTCTCTCAGCTTTTTGCACTTCATCATCACCATCGCCGCTACCATCAGCTTTTTTCCGCCAATTTTTTCTCGATTGTCTGTGGCTGTTTGAGAGCTGGACTGGATATTCTTAATCCGATTGTCGAATTCCCGCATTTGTCGTTGTCGTTTTTCTCGCTGAAGAGCCCATCCCGTCCATAATCCATTCGGACTCGACTGCTGTTCCGCATCCGGCGAACCGCATCGTCACTCGCTCAATCAATCACTGACCGACAGGCTGAAGCAAGTGGTGCGCCATCACTCATCATCCCTCCGTCTAGCCAACCAACATCTCCTCCTAATTATAGTCTCCAGCGCTCCCGCCGACTAATCCCCAACATCGTCTAATTTCTTTCCGCCTCAACAGCTCCTCGAACTTCGCTGGTTCCAGCTTATCGGCGTCTCAATTCGCATCTCTTCGCAATGGGAACTTTCACATTCAAATGGTAGGCGACCCCTCTCGCATTATTCAGGCAGGACCTCCGTCGCAAGGAAGAAGCTCGCGGGGGCAAATCGCTTCGACCAGGTCAGAGATATGTTGAGCTATCAAGCAGCTATCTTGCTGGTGATAACCTCCCCACCAGCTCTCCCGATCTCGACAGGGCCGTTGTGGATGCCCCCCGGGTCATTGCTGATCAACCGCGAATGCTGGCTGACTCGATTTTTCATGATTGCACAGGCCGCACGCTGCCGAAGAGGTCTACGTGACCGGCACCTTCGACAACTGGTCCAAGAGCGAGAAGATGAGCAAGGTCGGCGACCACTTTGAAAAGACGGTTACTCTGCCCGATGCCTCGGAAAAGATCTTCTACAAGGTGTGTACTACAGTCAATTGCCTTTCCTCCCCTCTTCTCCCGCCATCCTCGCTTTCGGCTCCCCGTCCTTCCATGAGCTACTCGAGCAATTGCGGGAACACGCAATGGCATGCGACATCAGTCATGGCCGCTATTTTACGCTGCCCCGCCGCCGAGCAAGTGGAACAAAAATCGGTCAAACTGCGGCTTTCGCGGGATGGGGGCTCTGGCGCACCCTAAGTTGCCAATGCGATTTCCACGTATACATCCCATACCGCACTGCACCGTACTGCACCACCTTGTAGGTGCGATTGATGCGGCGGAGCTCCCGGGTAGGCGTCTTGCTCGCCTGACTTGCCTACTCCCGCCGGCGATTTTAGCCTTTAGCCAATCTTGACCCATGATCGCGATGCGTCCATAGGCAGGCAATGACGCAACCGAAGCCCATGTGAGGCCGTTGCTCCCAGCCCAGCCACCATGCAGCGACCATGAGGGGGAGCGGTGAACAGGCGGGACCCCAACCCGAGCTACAACCCCAAATGACCAAGATTTTCCCAGGTTCAGGCCTGCTGCAAGCCCGTCATTGTGCTGCTTTGGGTGGAGAGCTGCAACCTGGGGCCCTTGCAGCCTGCAGCTCCATAATCAATTGGCATTTCCTATATCCTTCAAGAGGGGTTCGGTCCCATTGTCGTTCTTCTTCTCCTCCCGTATTGTTTCTACACTGCCTACCTTGCCTTTGTATTCCCGCGCATCTGCTATTCAACAATCAATAGCAAACCATATTTACTGACATTGGCATTTCTCAGTTCGTCGTGGACGGCAACTGGACTACAGACCACACCGGTCCCCAAGAGAAAGATCACGAGGGCAACGACAATAACATTCTTTTACCCGAACAAATAATCAAGGACCCTACACCCGCCCAGGTCATCATGAGCAGCGCCGCCCCAGAGTCCACGACCGCTGAGCTGGCGAAGGACGTGCCCCTCGAGAACACAAAGCCAGAGGGCCTGCCCGGCACCTTCCCCGAGACGCCCGCTAACGAGCTCGACAAGACCATCGGCATCAACCCTCTCCCTGCTGCCGACGGCGCCGTCAACCCCATCAAGCTTGCTCCCGGCGAGCCTATTCCTCCCAGCCTGGCTGGTAACAACATCAATTCTCACGTTAAGTTGGACGCCGAGTCATACGAGAAGAGTGATACCCTGCCCGGTGTTGATACCACCCTGCCGCCCGTTTCTGGCAATATGATCCCCGAGTCCAGCTTGCCAATCGCAAGTGGCGCCGATGTCACCATCAACAGCGCCGCTCCTAACTCAACGACCGCCGCCCTCGCTGCTGAGGTGCCTTTAGAGCCCAAGGTTCCTGAGGTTGTCAAGGAGAGCCAGGATAAGGCTGGCGTTGACCCTGAGGCCAGTGGCATCAGCTCGGAGGTCGTGGAGAAGGAGAAGGTTGAGGAGGAGCTCCTAAAGAAGGTCCCTGAGGTTCCGTCGACATCTGAGGGCACTTCCGGCAAGGGAACCGAGAAGTCCGAGGGCGACAAGACGCTGCTTGAGACCGCAACTGCCACTGCCGCCGGCCTCAGTGCCGCTGCTGTTGCCACAGCGGTCGCTGCTAAGAACACCGTCGTTGAGCAAGCCGGTGTGGCCTCAACCGCCGCCACAGATGCTGCTGCAAAGCTTCCCGAGCCCGTCAAGGCTCAGCTGCCTACCTCTGTTCAGGAGACGATCACTCCCGCGGCCAAGGAGCAGAAGCTGGAGGAGGTCTCCCCCGAGGTCCCCACCGAGGTGAAGGAGTCGATTGCCGAGGCTGGCAAGGAGCCAGAGGCGGCCGCTAACACGGCAGCCGTCGAGGACAAGAAGGAGGTGGAGGCCCAGCTCCTCAAGGAGGTCAAACCCGTCGAGGCTGTCGGCGAGTCTTCCGCGGAACCCAACGGCACCGAGGCCGCCGCCGCCCCGAAGGAGCCCGAGACGCCCGTCAAGGCCACGGAGCCCGCACCGACCGCAAGCAGCAGCAAGCCGGCCGACAGCCCTGCCACCACCGAGAAGAAGAAGAAGAATCGCATCAGCGCCTTCTTCGGCAAGCTCAAGTCCAAGAGTGGCGACAAGAAATAGGATTCTTATGCCTCGTGCATGTGATTTTTTGCTGCTTCGGGAGGGGCGGATGCGGAGGAATTTGGATGTAATCTCGGTTGTTGTCGTCATCGTTGTCGCCGCACTCTACTGCTTTTTGTCCGGTTGTTGTTGTTGTTCGTTCTCATTGATTCCCCGGTCTGCGGACCACCACCAACTCGGCGCCTTGCACACACCCCCACTACTACCCACTCTCAGCATCTACTGTAACATAATACCAAAGGTCGTTTCATCCAAATCCCGCTTTCTCCTTTCCCAATGCAGCATAATCCGCGAGTCAAAGAGAAGGGGGGATAAAAAGGGAGAGATCCATGTTGGTTGGCTGGTTGGTTGGCTGAATTGTTCCGCCAGAGTGATTGTTTTTGCATCCATGTCATATCCAGAGGTTCTGTAATGGAGGGTGCTAATTGTGTTTGCGGAAATAGGTAGGGAGGTAGGGGTAGGAAGGGCAGGGCGATCAGATGGCTAGAGAGGCAGGAGGAGATAGGGGGACGGAAACGATCTTGGACTGGCAGATGCAGAATTCGGCGGTTTGATTTTCCCAGTTTAGTGCTCTTTCTTGTCAGTACTTCATCTGTTCCATCCCATGGGATCCATGCATACATTCCGGTTCCCCAGTCTTTCCATCTTTTGTGATGTTGACGTGAACGCTTGGTAGGACCTAGACCTGTGCCTGATACCTTGATACCCCCTCGGATGTAGCAGGTAAGGGCATCATCTAAATCTTCGAGCATTACGAGGAGATGAATTCATATCCTTTGAATCAGAGTTAGTGTAAGCATGACTTCTGCGAATACAGCTCTTTCTGATGGTATATGCATTATCACTACCTAGACTAGAGCCTTGCTTCGCTAATCTGTGCCAATGGGCAACAAATCTATTTTAGAGGTACCTCAGGCGACCTTGCTTTTTCCGACCCTGCATATCAGACCCCTAGCTTAGCACACGCAGAACGCCCGCCCCCTCATGTGACTTCCAAAAAGTACTAATCGGAAACACCTCAGTCGATCTCAACATCAATGTCTAGATCCAACGCCCCGATGATATCATCGTCCATGAGCGGCTTGTGGATCGTGGGAATGCCGTTCTTGGTGGCGTTCTGCGCCTGCAGCTTGGCCAGGTGAGGAAGCAGCGGCTGGGGCTTCTGTGCGCCGAGGCGAGGCGTGCCGCCGTTGGCCGGCGTGCTGGTGCCGCTGGCGTTCTGGCTGTCCGCGCCCGCCTTGCGCTCGATCTTCTCGTTGACGTCGTGGATGAACTTGGCCTTTGTCTTGAGCCGGCGCGACGTGTCTTCCTCAACCGCCTCGCCGCGCTCAATGCGCGCCTCGAGATCGCGCGCCTTCTTCTTCTCGAGGATCTGCGCCCGTCGGACGGCTTCCTGGTTGCGCTTCCGGTTCTGGCGGTTGAGCTCTGCCAGGCGCTCCTGCTGGGACGGCGTGTTGGGGGTGGAGGCGGATTTAGTGCCAGCGGGCGCCAGCGATGTCCTAAAAGCGAGGCGCGGCGTCTCGAGCTTGTCAAGCTCATCCTGCAGCTCGTTGGCTCGCTGGTCGTTGCCCTGGTTCTTGGCTTTCTCAATAGCCTTCTCGAGGCGTTCTCGCTCAACACCGCTGAAACGAGCCTTCAGCTTCTGCTGGCGGTCGAGCTTGACCTGTAGCTCTTCTTCTGTCCAGGTTCGCTTGACAAGACGATTGATGTCGTCGATCTTGTTGGCTAGCGCAGGTTTCTTGGGCAGTGGGACGTTCTCTGCCTGGCAGGTTTTCTGATACCGATTCCACTCAGTCTATATAGGTGTTAGCACCACACTTGCACTGCGACAAGCCATAGATAGTACCTCGGTGAACGGACGATCTGAGCAAGCGATGAACGGCCAGTCGCGTACAGCTTTGCCGTGGGCTGCCTTGACATACTGATCTGTGACGAATTGCTTGCCACGAAGGTCCTCCATTGCGTACGGTCTGCCCGTGTTGAAACCTAGTTCGGAGTGAGCAAACGCTTTGAAGCTAGTAAATACATTTTGACCTCACCTTTGATGACTGCCATGCGATAGACGTTCTCGCGAGTGTCAGGATCAGGACCGACATTAATACGTACATAGCAGTCTGTGATCGTCTCGTCAAAGCCTGGGAAGAAGCAGACCTCTGCGAATCGACTGCGGCCCACCCGTACTCTCTCGACGTCCCGGAAATCAGCGAGAGGCACCTCCTTGATTTCTGGAGATCGTGACTTATGCTTGGACGGTCCGGCCCACTCGACGTCACTATCGCCAGAGGCATCCGCATCGTCGATTCGGAAGGAAGGAGATCTCTCCTTTCGCTCGTCCCTGCGGCGCATCCGTTCGCTCTTCTCTGCTCTGGCTCGCTTTAGAGTGTCGAGAGCCGAGCTCGTCTCCTTCCGGACCCGCGAAGTCTTCCTCTGGCCATCCTCAAGATCTGCGGCGCTCGCCTTGCGCTTCTTGTGCTTCTTCTCTTCGTTCTCCTGATTCGTCACGAGTTGGCGCAGTAGCGCGTTCTGACGCATGCGCTCTTTCTCTTCCTTTCGCTCGGCGAGAATTTGCTCTCGTTCAAACTCTCGCATCGCCATGATCTCGGCCTTCTCGGCATGGCTCATGAACAGGCCCTCGACGGGGTACTTGCTTCCCTCATCGTCGCGGCTTTTGCTCTGAGGAGAGTCTGAGTCGGAGTCGGATTCGTCCATGGGGGCGGAATCGAGGGAGTTGGGAGAGGAAGGGGCCGAGGATCTGTGGTGCCAGGACCCAGTGTTAGTATGATGATGATGAAGGAAGGGCATCTTGAGCTTATATGGGATGGACGGCAGAAAATGGTTCGGAGAATCAGCGGGAAAAGGTTGTGAGGGAGCAAAGGTGAGGCAGATGCAAGTTTGTTTGTCGGGATGGGACGAATTTGTCTGATGCATGGTGGGGGAAAGACTCACGCTTCGCCCTCTTCCTCTGAGTCTTCCTGGCGCCTCTTCTTGGTCTTCTTTGCAGCCACCTTCTTTGTCGCCACACCCTTTGCTGGTGCCTCCTTCTTCTTAACGGGAGGAGGAGACTGCGACTCCTCGCGGCTCATGTCCATAGAAGCCGCATCCTCCTCGTCCGAAGACACATCACCACCACCCGCGAGGGCAAGGAGTTCGTCATCGATGTCAGACATGTTGAAAATGTGTTTGTAAGCGGTTCGACGATGATAAGGCTCGAGGAGTCTCTGGGTTGCGGATCCGAGGGTTGGCCAGACGTTGCAAGAACAGCAAGGAAGGAAGGATTGACCCGTGTAAGTCGATAGTAATACAATAGAGTACAGAAACTCTTCAATAATTATCAATCCCAAGGCGCCATAGACCCGGTTATCCCAGTGAGTTGACAAGAGGTGGACAACGGGCAAGAACAATAAGACGTTGGTCCCCTATTCAGACAGCCTTTCCTTTTGTCGTTTGCGGCTCATCGCGCAGGCGTGGGCAATGGTCCAAGCTTCTCTGCACGTGGCGGAAAATTCCGGGCGCGCAGGGACCGGCCAATCGTATGACACGATTGCTGGTCCATCAGGTCATCGATATTGATCTCCGAGCTCTAATTCTCGGATATATGTATTTCAAGTTTACCTCTTGCAGAGTTGAATAGACATACACAAGGAAGAGCAGGTCACCATTCGGCTCAATGCCTCCTCCAAACGCACTGCTGCGCTCCGCCCAGCGCGTGCGGGTATCACAAGTGCACATCCACGACTTCCTCGCTCCAGCGCTCTTCACCCCGAGCTCCCGGCGCCTGCTGTCTAGCACCCCGCCGACACTCGCAACGCCGACAGACATCCCCTCTTCCCCGAACGGCGATGGCCACGCCTCCTCATCCAGCGCGCCGCCCAGGGGCAAGCTCAAACCCCTCACTAAAGAGCAGCGAGACTTCCTCTCAGCCGCCCTGCGCGTCAACCAGGCTGGCGAGCTAGCCGCGACGCTCATCTACACGGCGCAGACGCCGCCCATCATCGCGCGGCACCCGCACCTGCGGCCGCTGATGAAGCACATGTACGACCAGGAGGTCGGGCACTTCGACACGTTCAACGCGCTGATTGCGAAGCACCGCGTACGGCCGACAGCCCTCTACCCGCTGTGGTCGGTCATGTCGTACGGGCTAGGCTGGTCCACGGCCGTCATGGGCCGCGAGGCGGCCATGGCGTGCACGGAGGCGGTCGAGACGGAGATCGGCGACCACTACAACTCGCAGATCCGGACGCTGCTGGAGATGGTCAGCCAGTGGGAGGCGGAGGGCTACGAGGTCGGCGAGGAGCTGCGGACGCTCATCAATACTCTTAGAAGGATTCGGGATGAGGAGCTCGAGCACTTGGATCACGCCGTGGAGAACGATGCTAAGAAGGCGGAGCCGCATTGGCTTCTAACAGGTATCATTAGGGCAGGCTGTCGAGGGGCGATCTGGGTGAGCGAGAGGGTATAGAATTCTGAATCACAGCCTGGACGCCATACTGTACAACTACACGAGGATCACTTCTTTCTAAGAATGTACGATATTGTATGTTAGAAAAATGTACAAAGCGAAAATACAAGGTTGTTACGATAGGACAGCCAAAAGAATAAATAGGCTATATGCAGTGCCAAGTTGCCGCAGTGCGCTTCCTTGAGGCTCCCATGCCTTATGCAATGATCCGCCAACGCCGTGGATGCTTACCAGCTATTTCGATTTTAACACACTACTCAGTACACGTGACTGAGACACCCTTTTAATTGCTGTTCGATGTGTTAGAGATCTCTTGGAATTGTCAAGTTAAGATGTACTCACTAGATTTGTAGAGGTGCCACTTGGTCCACCTGGTAGAGCCAGTTGCCATTGTTCTCCTCCGTGATGAGCCAGTCGTAGGGAAACTGCACCAAAGTACCTTGGGTCATGTTGAGGAGACCCTCAGCCTCTGCCTTGGGCAAGAGGTCCTCCGTGCTTACAAAGCCTCGCCGACTTCCTCTGGTTGTTGCGCGTCTGCGACGCTTGACTGAGCCGACAGCAGCCTGAGCTGGTGCGGCACCGTTCAAATTCAAAGAGGGCTTTTCTTGGTTGGTAAATGTGGTACGCCTCTCCTTCTTTTCTGGCTCGGGCGGTGTCAAATTTGTCGAAGTCTTCTGTGCTTCAGTGCCATTTGCTGCTGGAGGGAACAAGTCATCTCCTTCCAAAGTAGGGCTCGTAACGGGACTAGCTAAAGTAGGAGTATTCATCGCACGCTGAGCTGCAGCGGCCTTCTCAATGTCCAGCCTCGAGTCTTGTCGGGCATGTGAGCGCGGAGTTGAAGCTCCCTGAGCATTCTTTTCGCTTATAATATCATCCGTCGCGGGGACTCTTGGCTCGCCGATATTGCCTTCGTCTTTCGTTACCAGTCCCGTTAGCTTCTCAGTCAAAGTCTTGGCTACCACCGTAGGGCCAGGTGCACCAATACCAGCACCTCCTGATGTGGCTTGTCTTGAAGGGTGGCACTCCGACTTGCGCTCCGGCTCTTCGCTTTTGGTTGCCCCTTTGCCTTCCTGGTTCTCGCGGAATCGTATTTGATATGAGACGTAATCTGTGTATTCGTGCCAATTCGTGACTTCGTTATCGGGCATGCACCGGAACACACGACGGAAAATCTTGGTGTTGTTCTCCGCAACTCTATACCAAACGTCGTCGTAGAAATTGGGGTTTAGTGGATCGCGCATAGAGTCCTTGTTGAACTCCGCCATCTTGATATCAGCTGCAAGAGGGTGGACGGCTGGTGGGGCACACGGGTTGCCATTTGCATCAAAGTGCAATGGCGGTCCTCCGATGTCAGTGTCATCCATAAGAGGCAAATTTGGAAGTTGATTGGCTCGGGGTAGCCCAAGTTGATCAGTTGTACGCCTGTTCATAGGAGGCATAGGAGGCATCTTGTTTTCTCCAGTGTCATGAGCAATTGACTCGGTTGATGGTTGAAGCTCATGCGCAACCTTTGGCTTATCAAGGGTGCCTCTGCCTTCCGCAGAGATGTCGTGGATGAGAACCTCACGACCGTGGACAATGACAGAATCCCTTCCCTGGTCGAGTCCTTTTTGCTGAGCAGATTTCCAACGATCGGTACCATAGCCTTCGACCTCCTGCTTATGCTGGGGGTTGCTGATCACTCGCTCCACGTTCGAATCGGTTGACTTTGCCTTAGACGAGCTAGAGCTGCTCGAGGACTCCACGTTATGATGCTCTTCGAGATCCACATCATAATTGAAACTATGGCCCCGTCCATGGGGACGGGCGCCGGAATCGACATCAAGGTTGCCTGCGCCTTGTTTCGAGCTCTCAGCAAGTGGCTCCTCGTCAGATTCATCACCATAGATCTGGCTCATCTCAGCTTCGAAGTCCGCTTCTTCACGATCAAGATCTGCTTGTCTCTCTTCTTCAAGAATGTCATCTACTGGAAGACCAAGGTGCTCTCGCATCAAGCGCAAACGGAGAGTATGAGCGAAGCGGCCGACTCTGTATGGCTGTCCAGCCATGGTGGACCAGAGCAAATCGGTGTCGCGCACAATTGCTGCACATTCCGAATCACGATTTCCGAGCATGGACCGCTCATTGATGTTGGCGGAACCGATCAAAGCAACTCTATCATCCACAATGATGGTCTTGGCGTGGATGTAGAGTTGTTCAGTCGTAATAACATCATTAGCACCAATCTTTCCCCATTGACGCAGGCTGAAGAATTGGATATAATCCTCTGGCTCGATCCCGGCAGCACGCAAGCGACCAAATATGGACGTTTCGCCACGACAGATGCTCCTGAATTGGCATTGTAGGATCAGTCGCACACTGGTGCCATCCTGCTCGGCGACAGAGTTTTGGAATCCAGGCATAAGCGGGATGATAACAACGCATCTCCAATCCTCATCGTTTTCATGGGCGCGGATAATACGCTCCACCAATGCATCACCAATGCGGTTGACAATTCTGGCATTCAGTGTCTCCGTGCTCGTGATGAAAAATTGGTTCTCCATGTAAACGAAATGTTCAGACTCTTCGATCATTTTCACGTACGCAGCCTGGATACTTGCTTCTGTATCTTCGATACCGAGGGACCAGGTGGATGCAGATCTCAGGATCTGCACTTCGCAAGTGCCTGACAAGCCAAGAGCTTCGACATCTTCCTTCCTAAAGTCGGGAGGCGGAAGAAGGAAAGGCAATGGGCGTGTAGGTCTCCGACCACGACGGACATAATTCCATCGTTGAACGAAATGACGGGTGAGATCCCGAGCAGGTTGACCAACAACTTGCATCGAGATATCATGCCAAGGCATTCGGGGAGTCTTGCTTCGATCGTACATCTCTTCGTATGGCTCGTTAAGCCTGAAGAAGTCTTGAACTCTGGGGTTAGAGTAATCCTTTCCAGGGAATAGTTGGCAATGTTCAGCGTCCTTCGGAACATCCTGCATCTCCAAGGGCTCAAAGCCAGTTGGCTTGTCATCAGCGATAGGGTGCTGAGGATTGTCCCATCGTCCAAAGCAGAGGTCAATGCCGCCAACGAAGGCAATATGATGATCCACAATGCAGACCTTCTCATGATGTGCAAAGAAGAACTGGTTCTTCTTGAACTGGTTCGGAGATCTCTGCACGAAAATATTCGGATGTAGATTCAACAAAGAGTATTTTGTGTACTCGGAGTCGATGGGAATGGCAGCCTCGACATTTCTGTACACGATGACGAAGATTTTGACTCCTTCTCTTGCCTTGCGCTGGAGGAGTCTGTCTAGTCTCCATTTTTGACTAATGCATGCTGGACGTCTCATATACAGCTCTGGGCTTAGCCACCAATCGTGGATGTATATGACGTCCTTGGCCATAGCAATAGCTCGAGATACATTCCACATGTAGTCACGACCGTCAACTAGCCACTGAGCATGAACTCCTGTCCTGACTGGCGCAAAACTACCGAATCGGTTTCTTTGATGCCAAGGAGTACGTTTCAACATCTCGGTGATTGACTCCTCGAACTGCCTGATTAGATGCTGGTTCCGACCCCAGAGTTTGACTTTGCGCTCGGATGTAAGAATCGTGATAGTATGATGATTGTCTTGAAGAGAATTAGCCGTGAGGTCAATTTCTCTTGACTCGTTTGCTTTGCCGGTGCCGATTTGCTTCAATTTATTTTTCTTAGATATAATCTTGAACTTGGCATCAACAAGGTAGACATCATAGATGTCGATGTTCTCTGGCGACTCAACGCAGGCAATATAGCTTTGGCGGACGAGGAACCATTTTCGTGTATGTCTGGCGATGACCTTTGCGGGGGTCAGGACTCGTCTGAAATCTAAACCTTTAGATGACTGGATGTGAAGGTAGCATTCTTTGCCATGATAGCCACCCTCCGCGGCGAGTCGCACGCCAAGAGCAGATAACTCTAGGAACCGACAAAGACGGTTGCTATCAGCTCTAAACATGAGCCACCGTACCATCTCTTGAAGGTACTTCTCTAGCATTCTTTGCTGTCGCTCGACATATTTTCGTCGTTGAGCAATGGCATCCAGTGCAGCTTGGGCCTGGTTCTCTAAATTCGAGCCGGTTTCGCCGATGGCGGATGTCTTTCTACGCGGTGCAAGTATGTTCATGCGCGACTTCTTCTTCTTGTTCTGCGGTCGACGCTCTCCATCTGTTACTTCTGCTGCAGTGCCTTCGCCAGCAGTCCCTTCCGCTGTATCATCACCGCGAACACTAGCAAGATCCTCCTCATCGCTGTCATCGAGGCCACGAACGCCGCGGAGGTAGGGGAAAGCAGAGAGCGGGAAACGAGGTTGCTTGGGTCTAGTGCCGAGTTCTGGACGGTTGTGTAAATACTTTTCGTTGCTGAGGGCGAGCTTGTACTTCCAGTGTAAATTGAGAATTTCGCGGATTGTCCGCTTCACAGTCCATCTCATTCTACTTGGGCCGCTTCCGTACTCTAAGTCGATAGTAAACAGCCAATGTCTCTCACTGTCATCATCAGGACTTGGAGAACTGTCCCGAATATGGAGTCTAACTTGTTCAAGCAAGACAGGGATCCTCTTGTTCCCATGTTCGTCCCGCTGAATCATGCTCGCTAACATAAGCACTGCTGGGGCTCCTGCTCGTAGCTCTGCCATGAGCTCGGCAGACTTGAAGTAGTCGAAGCGTCTGTCCTCCTTCTGCCGCAGGAGCTTCAGTGTACTCTTTACTTGTCTCCACTTCTGGATACCAAATGTAGAAGCCCGTTCGCTGTTGAAGATGGGTCTTCTTGGTGTCATTGCATCACCGTCGGAGGCACCTCCTCCTCCAAATACGCTGATACGTCGAAGATGGCCATATCTTCTCCCAGACGGACTCTCGGCAGCTTCGTCACCATCTTCACCTCTTCCCATGAGGAAGGAGCTGCCTCTGGTCCAGACACTGTCTGGAACAGCGAGTTGGTCACGACCCTCACCTTCGGACATGACATCGCGAATATCTGTCGCATCTGGCATGGTTGCTCGCCTTCGCATCACAGGGAAGCGTCGGTTAACAACGGGGGAATCCGTCTCACCTCCCAATCTTGGTGTGTTTGGTGTAGATTCGGAAACGAACTTCGGTCGCCTCATACGTCGTCGCTTCTTCTTAGCTTTTGACGAAGCATCTGTCTGCCCCTCGTCTGCTGTCTCTTCTGCATCGGCGTCGATGTCACTCCCCTCTTCGTTGAGCGTCTGTGGGAGTCGACCCATGCGTGCCGTCGTTGGCGAGCTGGCCGCAGACTGAGCACCCGATTCTGGAATTCCGGCAGGAACACTGGGCGATTTGGGAGTGGGCAGTCCTCCCTGAGCAGCGAGTGCTTTCAAGCGGGACATGAAGGATGAGCCCCGGGATTTCCCCTCGCTGGCATCCCATGATCCGTGTCTCGAGTGCTGAAATTGTGGTGGGTCAAGCACAACGTCGTCCCTTGCAAATTGTACGCTCCGTCGCCCTGCCATCGGTGGTCGGTCAGCGGCATCAATGTTTCCCTCCTCTTCGCCGTCGGCAGTCCCATTCTCAAGCTTTGTAGTGCTTGTGACATCAGGCACGTGCCTATATTGATGTGTCGCGATCGACTCGTTCTGACCCAACGGGGACAGCGTGTTATGAGGCACGCCTCCATTCAGGTAATCCTTCGCATCGCCATCTCCAAGTTTGCTCTTGGTCGTCGAAAGAACGGGGTCGGAATACGATCCATTAACGATGGTAGCGCTCGGGACTGGCGGAAGGCGTTTCTCGAGAGGTGAGCCGTCAGCAGGGTCTCCTGCAGCCGCTACGTTATTCGCGAGTGCTCGTTCAACCGGCAGAGGAATGTCCTCTTGGACCGGTGTTGCCATATTCGTGTAGGTTCAGTGACGACAGAGCTTAATTGGGGAGATCTCGAGCTGCTTGGTTCGGTACTTCGTAGCGAAGCATTACAGCTTACGCGATGATTATCGATGGTCAGGGCCGCCACAGATGAGCATCGCGACACCAAGACCTGAAGAATGTAATTGAGGCAACCTTGATTTATGTTTCGTTCAGTGGTCTCACTCAGGTGCCAAGGACAAAGTGGGTGAATTGAACACAAGTTGCCAAGCTCGGCTGAGGGATGTTTGCTACAACGAATGGGGGACCGTGGAAACCGTGGTCTGCCAGCGGCCGTCCGTATGCAGATGGTAAATGGGGTTCAAATACCTCCTTTTAGGTGTGCAACCTGACTTTAGGAAGCGCTGTCGCAGAAGAAATAACGTAACCGCTCCGAAGTCCTAGTCTTCAAACAAAATGTTGAGGGTTCCCGTATTGCGCGCAGATACATGCTGCGTTCGAAGATTGGGGTCCTCTTTGGGGTGGATCATCAATTACTGAGCTGTACAGGGGTGTTACACTGTCGACAAGGGTGCCGGGTTCCAGGGTGCCAGGTAGCTAAATTGTCGAGGGAACCTAAAACTTGGAGCGCACTCCACCCTTTATCATGATGTCAGCTTGTTGAGCCACGTGTGGCCGTGAGCTTCTTGTAAGTGGCATGAGAAACCTGAAGATGCTGCATATTCAGCCCACACCGTAACTAGTGGAATCATCACATGCGAGAGCCTCCTGTCAAAGGAGACGTACTTCGTCTTTGGCAATTGTCAAGACAGAGCTCGCGGTCTACCCTGACAAAAAGCCTCCACTGGTCCTTTCTATTGAGGCCCGGCTGACCCGCCTATTTTCCAGTACGGCGGTCGGAAGCCATCGCCGTGGACAACACGCTAAGTTTACATGGTGAAGAACCCATACCCCCTATACTTAGGATCTGTCTCAGGGCCAACGCATCAATCAAGTATCAGAGACGATTCACTGTACTGTCTGCGGGCTGCCGTGAAGAGAACACCGCCCATCATAACGTACCTCGCGGGTGGTGACACGGGATGACGATAGAGCATGTACTGTACTAATGGCCCGTGCCGCCTGTCCGTTGAACCGAGTCCCGTTCACTTTTGTAGGATCCGGTAATCGTGATATGAAAGAAATCATGATATTAAGACCAACCTTCGGGTGTCAATTGTAAGCAGTCAAGACTGGTTCAGGCATAACTGAGAACAAGCGAAAATACTGCATACCATGAGTCCGTTACTTGAGTCCATGCATATCTAACTTCCATTGGCAATTATGGTACCTAGATGTTGGAGAGCAACCCTAACCCTGAAGGACATTCCCTTACAACCCCCTCTGTTGGTGGGGTCTTCACGCGTAAATTATTCTCCCGACGCGTCTATCTTCCGCCATCATCAACCTCAATAAGAAAGCACAGTGGTGCGCCTTCAACACTGGATGATTTGAAATGCCGAGGTATGTTTCTGTGTCGCACTCAATACTCTGGTACAGCATCGTGGTAATAGTTTTGCAGAGAGATCATCACCATCCAGGCTGGCCAGTGCGGCAACAGCAGTGAGTTTACCCCGCGAGCTACCATCAATATCAGCATTGTGTTCCTTCTCGGTCTGGAGGGCGGTTGTATGGCAGCTAACACTAATATGGTGAAGTTGGCAGTCAGTTCTGGCAGCAGCTATGTCAGGAACACGGCATCGGTCAAGACGGAAACCTCGAGGACTTTGCGACAGAAGGCGGTGACAGGAAGGACGTATTCTTCTACCAAAGCGACGACACCCGATACATCCCACGAGCTATTTTGATTGATCTGGAACCCCGTGTACGCTCCCAGGACTGATTGAAATGGTATGCTGTGGTCTAATGCAAACAACAGGTCATCAATGGCATTCAAACCGGTCCCTACAAAAACATCTACAATCCAGAGAACTTCTACGTTGGGAAGAACGGTGTCGGAGCAGCGAACAACTGGGGAGATGGATACCAAACAGGAGAATCGGTGCACGAGGACATAATGGAGATGATTGACCGAGAGGCAGATGGCAGCGACTCGCTCGAGGTACGCAACAACTCAATTGGAGGCGAGATCCGAACGCTAACTTGGAGCAGGGTTTCATGATGCTCCATTCCATAGCTGGTGGTACTGGATCTGGTCTAGGATCATTTCTCTTGGAGAGACTAAACGACAGGTTTCCGAAGAAAATCATTCAGACATACTCCGTATTCCCCGATACTACGAACGCTGGCGACGTGGTGGTCCATCCTTACAACAGCATGCTGGCGATGAGGAGGCTAACGCAGAATGCCGACTCAGTCGTGGTTTTGGACAATGGCGCCCTATCCCACATTGCAGCGGACAGGCTTCACGTCCAGGAACCATCATTCCAGCAAACAAACCAGCTTGTTTCAACAGTTATGTCTGCAAGCACGACTACTCTCCGATACCCCGGCTATATGAACAACGACCTGGTCAGCATATTAGCGTCTCTAATACCTACCCCGAGGTGCCACTTCCTGATGACATCCTACACACCCTTTACCGGCGATCAGGTCGAGCAGGCTAAGACGGTGCGCAAGACAACAGTGCTTGATGTGATGAGACGGCTGTTGCAACCCAAGAACCGCATGGTTTCAACCGTGCCAGGCAAGAAGAGCTGCTACATCTCCATTCTTAATGTCATCCAGGGCGAGGTAGACCCAACTGATGTTCACAAGAGTTTGCTGCGTATTCGTGAGCGGAGACTGGCAACTTTCATCCCATGGGGTCCAGCAAGTATACAGGTTGCCCTGACGAAGAGAAGCCCCTACATCCCGATGAGCCACCGCGTAAGCGGCCTCATGCTGGCAAACCACACCAGCATTGCTACGGTAAGAAGGAAGAGAGTTCAATGTCACTATAAATGCTAATGAACAATCAGCTTTTCAAGAGAATTGTCCGGCAATACGATGGCATGCGGAAGCGGAACGCATTCATGGAGGGCTACAAAAAGACTGCCCCTTTCGCCGAGAATCTGAACGAATTCGATGAATCCCGAGAAGTCGTCACAGATCTGATTGCGGAGTACGAGGCAGCCGAGGATGCGGACTATCTCAATCCTGATCTTGGAGACAAGGCGACATCAGCAGAAACCGACAAGAGGGTAGCTTAGATGTGGAAGCTGTTAAGACTACGATTGTGGATTTAAACCGCCCATGGAGATGACAAATGGAATGCAGCTTGCATGAAAGATCCTGCTGGACTATGATTTGGTTTATGCATCCGGAAACCAGGCGTTGAGGGATTGTAAGGTTAGATACCTAATGAAGTAAGACAGCAAATGACGAATTTTCGGTTGTATCACACGCGCAGAGCCTCACCTAGCCCATGCGAGTCTCGCCGCGTTGATTCCATCCTATTCTACAATTGGAGTCGCTCTGCCAGCACCTGCTGACGCCTCAGAGCGCCCGGCGTTGGGTTAGTGGGGCCGGAACCGTGAAGATCTGTAGATGGTCCGCCATTGACGTACAGATTGCGTCAATGACGTAAATCCGGAGAGGAAGCTCCTCATGCTCGATACATTTAAAAGTTCGATTCGCGACTTTTGGGAGGCTTTTCAAGCTGAAATTTCCATTCAGACGACTCAAGAATACATCAATCGAAGTCTTCACCAACTTAAGATTTTTTCTCTCAGTCATAAAATCTCAAACAACCTCCAAAATAACCTTAGGTAAGTCGACCTAATGCTGTCGTGTGACCACAATTCAAAACTAATTCAAAGAACCAGCCATGTCTTCAAAGGCCGAAAAGATCGCTAAGGCTCAGGCCAACCTACCTCTTCCCGATCAGCCTCCTGTTGCCTCAGACTGGCAATCAGCAGACGCGCGGAATGTCAACCTCGGCGCTGGTGGCATCTCCAGTGACATCTCCACTGGTGATGGGTCTTCCACAGGTTTGCGCGAGCCGGCAACCAAAGGCTCTGATGCAGACATGAGCAAGATTGGTCGTCAAGGAAAGGACGGCCTAGAAGGTCCGCCGAAGGATGCCTCTAGTCGATAAATGTATATGCTTGGCGAGGGAGCTTGTGGAAGATTCGGCATGTAGACTCAACATGCTCTATGTATTATAACTGGAACGGTATTCCAGCCTAGCAGCGAGTCGACAACTGCAAAATATTCAAGTGATCTCAGATAAAGTGAAAAGCCTGGATGTGACTCCTATAATACAACCAAACCTACAGAACGGCCAAGCGAATCAACATCCCCGCTTCAAGTCACGAATGTACAAGAACAGGGCAACAAGTTGAGGCAGGCAATTCCGATTTGAGCCTTCACTAGAGCAGTAAATCTTCGTCGGCAAGGGTATTATTACCTCGCCGGCCATGAATTGATACCTTCAGAGTATTTCCATGATGACCGTATAATAATAGTAAACGGAACAATCTAAGGCGCTATCACGATTCTCATCCTTTAGTATCCACCTTGTAGTATTTCACGTCTATTACCCTAGCGGAGGAGGAGTATTCTGTAGTGTCCTATTTTCCTATACAGTTGCTAGCGGCCCGTACCAATGTCAAAGTGGTGTAGATTTATGGACTTCTTTGCATTTACTTCTCGTTTCTCATTAGTTGCTGATCCATTCAACTCAAGGTAGAGCATATATCTTGTAGTAAACATATTGATGTCTTTCATATCAATCAAAATGTCTCTATCAGTCAATCTATCTAACTTGTGACTTTATGAATGAACAATCAAAGTTGCAAATATACATTGTTTGGTTCTTTAGAATGCATTTGCGCTTTGTCAACAACGAAAAGCTCAAATATCTTATCAAAGCTTCATGTCTGATATTGTAACTCAATCAACAAAGCAACGAGACGAATCAACCATGGAAAGTTCCACAATGTCCTTCAATAGCTAACGACTGTGTTTGTGCTGGGCCCAGGTAAGCATAAGCAAAAAAAGGGGCCGTCAACCCGATGAAGAACACCACGCCCCGGTCCGCCACTTGCACCTTGGCTACCACCCTCACGAGGCGTGCCAATTGGTTTTAAATTTGCTTCTAGGTCAGAGAGATCCTTCTCCAAAAGATAAATAAACATCAACATATAATCCCACACATTCTTCCTTCCTGTGGATCACAATAAGTGTTGATCGAGTTTCTCCTCAACCATTGCCCCAAACACTTACTCGAGATCCTCGCCTAATAACGAATCCTCAGGCAATAGATCTGTACAACCGGCTCGGCGGACCCTGTCGTCGAGGCGCTGATACTAGGGGGCTTTCAGGGTGTGGTGGGCGTACCCTCGTCAACACCCTTTACCTCACCACCTGTTCTGCCTCATCCACACCACATCGACGGGAACCAAAACCATTTTGCATTTGGTCTCTTTGTCTGTTAACCTCTCTATTTCCGTTTTCGAGTCTTTAATGGCCTTCTTACGAAGCTATCACGATTAGCAGAGGTGAGTGTCCTCATACAGCCACTCAAGTTGGTAGCTGTCTCGCTCCTTCCTGATTTGCTGTTTTGCTCATTCCTGCAGATATCACAGTCTAATTAGGGATTCCTGTCGAAAAATCTCCGAGTCGTTGATTCTTATGATCATTCGAGATCGTCAAGGCGCCTAAACAGTCATCATCTCACTTTCTGCCCTGCGGTCAGCTCAGGGTTAATACATCTTCACCCGACATCACCAGAGCGAGCAGATTGCTCTCTTCCCTGTTCTCCATTGAATCCAGAAAAATTCAATTCGAATTCATTCTCGACGCGAAGTCATCATGTCTCGCCCAGCCACAGCTGCGATTCTGCAGTCCATGATGGTAAGTCCTGTCCTGCGTGTGTAGCATTGCCACCCTTCATCATACCACCCATCAAGAAGGCTCGTCGATTGAGCAGCCCCATCATTCGGCTTCTAATGATCTCATAGGAGGACTTGGGCCTTGGCCGAGTAGAAGAGCTGCCTATGGAAGACAACCCCAGTTTCCGCGATGTCTCTCGTGGAGGGTTTGACGGAGGTGGCTCTCGTGGCGGCTTCCGTGGCAGGGGCCGTGGCCGAGGCCGTGGTGGTAACTTCGGTCAGGTCGCCTCTGAAAGTGTTCGAGCCGTGACTACTCCCAATGCAAATGAGGTTGCTAATGCATGGAAAGGTAAGCCTCTCATAGTTTCGGGAATGACTGACGACGGCAGGATCTGACCATGACACTATAGCCGCTATCAATTCAAATGTCTTTGATGACGAGGACGCTGCCGAGGTCAAGGGGCTGGATACCTTAGGAGGTGGAAATCTCCATCGCATGCGCATCGCTTCTGAGAATGTCACCCCTGTCTCCTTTCAACCTAGGTTAGTCCAACATTTTGTTATGTCAGTCCAACGTGGCTTACACTTTCAAGTACTCAACGAGATGCGCCTCCTCATTTCGTACCTCAAGCCCGTTGTAGTCCAGGGCAGCCATTCCGGTCTCAGCTGACGGGTCACAATAACGACCCTATTCCCTTAGGCCCTACAAGGCAATTCCCTCCTGGCTATGCTAGAACTCCGAATACCAGCATCCCCGGCGGAAGTCCTCAACATGGTAACAACGTAAACCGGGGAAACAGGGGTCTGCAAACTCAGACTCGGTCTCGGCCTCAAACAGCGACGACTCCTGCTTTAATTACCCAGCAACGACCTCCTCCAATGCCTATTACCACCGCCGCTCAGATTCCCGCACAAGCGGCTCTACCCGTCAGACCCAAGATTCGGATGACTGAGCCGGATGCAAGTTCGGTTGTTGTTCAGGATGATATCAAGACCACCTCGAAAGACCACAATACCCTATACAGAGGACGGGCTTATATCTGCAACGAGCCTGATCCCGTCACAGCTTCCATCACGATCCTCGTTCAGAGCGACGCAATGGATGACAAAAAATATTCATTGGCTCAGTGGACTGACTATCTTCATATGGAGAAGTGTCTCATCGCTTGTTTCGAGGTCGAGCTAGGAGTGTCCACTGCTCATTGCCTCGAATTCGAATCTTCCGGTGCAATGGCCAAGTTTGCCGAGAAGTACAAGGCATTTTTGGACGATCGCAACAAGAAAGACAGTTCACAGCTACTCACGGGTCCTAAGGAGGAGCAAGATTTGCCTACTCCTAGCGAAGTCATTGAAGCAATAAACACTTCACCACAGATCACACATCCCGAACCAGATAAACCGCATGCCGTTCCATCTCCCGTAGATAAGTCGAAGGCCACTAATTCACCGGCCATGCAGAAACCTAAACCCGCTGTTGCGGCGGTCGTTAATGTTCCCACAAAACCTCAGAGCCGTGATGCGCATTTACAAGCAGCCTGGCAGAAAAACCAGGCCATTGTGTACAGCGAGCGGAAAGCACAGACAGATGCAGGGAAGCCGGCTGTGCCTGAGATGTCCAAGTCTGCTATTCAGATTAGCAATCAGAGCAAACCTCAACTCGCGATTGCCAAGGAAAACATCGAAGATGTCAATATAACACAGACCAACCAACATGAATATAATCCTTTATCGAAGAGTGAGCAGGCTATGACAGGCCAGGTCAAAGAAGCTCAAGAGCTCACGCCAGCCTCTCCACCGAAAGAAGTCGACATGTCTGAGACAAACCAATTTCTAGAACCCCCAGTTGTCGATCAGTCTGACGGTGATGAAGAGAATACTCTTCGCGAGTATCTGCTTCGTTTGCGGGACAACGTGAAAGATCTTGCAAAGACGAAGGGACTCGACAGTGCTGTCGATCTAGACGAGGTTTTCCGTACCGTAGTCGAGACTTTTGTATCTCAGACCAGCGGGTACTACAACCAACTTGACAAAGAAGGAAAGAAGGATGTCGTGCAGGCGTACTGTGATCTTGCTATGAAGCCAAAGGCTCGACGCCGGTCATACTCGCCGGAGCAACTGCTGGATATGCGAGATTCGGCACAGCCACCGTCCGAGTCTGATATGCATTTCGTTCCTCCCTCTCCAAAGACGACAGTCTCTACCGCTCTTGGTAAGAGCACTTTGTCTGGTTCTGCAGCTACATTTGTACCAAAGGCACATGAAACTCCACAACCTCGTCCTGATGGAAACAATCTCAGCGAGCAGATCAAGAAGGCGGCTGCCAATGCAGCATGGTTGATGGGTTCTTCTAACCCTTCAACGGCCAAAGATTCCCAAGAAAAGGAGAAGTCAGATAAGCAGACAGGTCTTAGTAGATCTCGCTGGGCTGATACCACCACCACTCCTGTTGCCAACCCTGGCAGGTTCACTGGCCCTCTCAGAGGTCAGGATGACATTTCCTCGTCTTCCCTGCTTCAACCCGGCCATGCTGACCAAACGATCCGTGATAGACCTTTGATTCCCAGCTTGGATGGCAGCTCGGATATGCCTCGTCCTATGTCTGGTAGTGGTACGCCTAAGTGTACAGGAGCAGCAAGAGATCTCATTGGACTCAATTTTAACGGGCCTTTCCTCGGGAACACCGCATATCTGGAAGGACTGGTGCTAAAGAGTGACGACGCGACCAACATGACTGAGACTTCAAGAGACAATACAGATGCGGCCCAGAACGCGAAGCATAAGTTGACGATCAATCCAAAATTGGAATGTAAAGAAGAGCCCAAAGTTATATCTCCGACCTCAGTCTCTTCTATCGGAGACATTGAGTCAGCTTTTCGGCAGATGCGCCTCTCTTAGTCCAGGAACGGGTTATTTGCTGAATACATTATCTCCTTTCTCTTTCTTTATGCGCGCTCCGTCAAGTTATGGAGCTTGCTACTGCGAAGGAAGTTGCTTAATTCGGAGATTCTCAGCACTCGTCATGTTGGAGTAGTGTTGTGGAGGGAATATTGAAGCTCTTTAAGCACACGACATTTTTCGGCGCCGCATCGCATTCCGCTTTGCTTGGTCTCTGCGACATCGCTAGAGTTCGATGAATTCTGGCGACATTTTGCTAGGTCATAAGGGCATGATGCCTACTTTGTCAGGCAAGAGAAATCATGAGGAAGGATGGAATAGGAGATAGAAGAAGAATTATGAGACGAGTGCTAATTCACCACTATCATGCATCTCGTGATAGCGGCAAGGCAGGAATTTGATAATAGACTCGACTTCTCCCCAATCATGGCGCGTCAAGTAATTCGAGGATCTGTAACGCTCAAAGTGACAAAGAAATATGCATCTCCTGGATCAGGAATATCACTCATGCACCCATGCTTCGTCCTCCCTCGACACAATAATCTCGTCCAGCGGTAATCTCTTGTCTACGATCTCCGCCCCATTTACCAGATCGTTCTCCGTCGCCCGCTTGTCAGCATCAGCCTCGTCGGGCGAGATCCCAGCCGCAACATGCCGTCTGACGAGCCTCTTCCGCGCCACCGCAAAGTCGACCTCGACGAACCACCGCTCGTCCATGAGCGCCGCGGCATCGCTCCAGGGAGCCTGATCCAGCACGACGTAGTTGCCCTCGAAGACGACGATGCGGTGTGACGGCGCAATCGGTATGTCGTTGTCTTTTGGGTCCTTGACGGCGTGGTCGAACGACGGTGCGTACACTGTCTCTGATGAAGGGGCCAGGGGTTCCCGCAGCGCCTGCACTAATCTCAGGAACGAGGCTCCGTCAAAGGTAAACTCGGCGCCGCGGCGGGCGTGGGCGGTGATGGGATCCGGCATGGCGGACAGCTGGTCCCGTGTGAGGTGATAGCCGTCCATTGGCACGAAGGCTGCCACGGCCGTGGATGTGTACTCTGGTGATGACGGATCAAGCGTCATGTGCCGTGCGTTGAGTTTGCTTGTGAGCAGTTGTGAGAGTGTAGTCTTGCCTGGGAGAGTTATTAAGCAAATACATGTATTCGGATAGTATATGTTAATTTACCTGAACCTGGGATGCCCCCTATCGCAATCACTTGTTTCTGTTAGTAAACATTCTAAGAGGGATTCGAGCATATGAAGGAGGTGAAACCCAAAGCGGGAACTTTGAACAAGCGTCAAGTTCCGAGAAAGGTGAAAACAACCCTATTGAACGATGACATGGAGGAACGCTTCCGTTTTCATAGACACGCCGTTTCCTCGGAATAGACCCCATATAGAAATTTATACATTGAGGAATACTTACTGAGCCGCCGCTCTGGAGGTGTTCGCAGGAACTTGTCCCACACCTTGTCGACAAGGCGTGTGATCTGATCGTCCATGATCGCACCCTCTTGCGTTGATTCCGAAATGCTCTGATTGGAAAATCCGGTCACACCTCCTTACTATCGGTCAAAGTCGCCGTATTTATCAAAGAATACAACAGGAATATGTAAGTTGAAAGTATCAGGTCAGAACTGGACCCCAGATTCAGTAGTTACCCCAGCCCCACATTGTGCGGGCCTACCTGACTGACACTAAGAGCGGCTTTCCTGTGACGCACGTTGATGTCAATTTTCTGCAACCAAACCCCGAAAGTCTCTTGCGCCTTGATATAGGACGGGGAGCATAGCTCGCATTCCACCCCGGAATATTACTTCTTCCAGACTGTTCTAGGCTTGAGGATGTAGAAGGGCTTTCCGTAGGGAGGGTTCATCATGGACGACGACCTGGATGCAGGGCTATTTGGCATCTCCCTCTCCGACTCTGAAGATGCGGGAGCAGAGCCTTCTGAGCAAAGCAAAATCGAGAGCCAACAAAACGGAGGCCGCACAGGGCAGTCCGAAGCGGCTTTCCAGGATGTCAAGAGCTCGTATCACGTCAAAATAGAAAACGGCGAGGTAAATATCGCTAGACAAGTTGTGCACGTGCCGCAGACTGATTCTGTCATAGATCTGGAAGAATGTCAACCTTCCGAACTTCCGGGGAGTGACCAAACCTGAGGCGCAGGAAGTCTTGCATGCCGCCGAGGAGTTGTACTTCTTCAGGAGATATGACGAAGTTGTGGATTACATCAGGAACCTCTTCAGGACTGAGTCGATTGTGCGAAGATTTGACAAAGACACCCGAGAGATGCTCGAACATTATGAGGCGAAGAGCCTACACAAATTGGCCGATACTGGATATAGGCCATATGCTCATGACATATCAATGGCTACTCCTAAGAATCGCCGAGAAAATTTGACTGGCTCAAATCAGTCATAGCTTCAGGATCGCTCGGCTTCTGTTTAATACATGTCACATATATAGGAAGGGGAAAGGATCATGTCTTATTTGTAGAGTTTTGAGTGTATTCTCTAAATCTCGATTAAACGCTGCAAATGTCTATGCTCTATTGGTCATGACCTTCATGATCATGGCAATTGTCTAGGGCCCAACTCTCGGGAGAGCTCTGAGATAGTAACGGATGTACCGGAACTCCTGCCAAATGTCTAAACACATCAAACTCAGGATGCAATGCCTTGGTACGCCGATGCCGATTGTTCCGTTCCTTTAAAAACACTTTTTGAAATGAACCGGCTATGCTGCTGTTTGCGGGGGATAACGCTGGAAGAAAATCTTGGCTGCGATGTTGCAGCGTAGGTGTCGGAATGGATTTGTTGTTGATCACGCGACACGCCTATTGGGCAATAGCCAAGGCGGACGACTGGATCTGTAGCTTTTCTCGCAGCTTCTCCTCGGCGAAGACTCTCCGGCTCATTTCAAGCACGGCCTCGAAACCCTCCTTGCCCTTGATCGCGTTCTCCTTGAAGCGACAGACCGAAAACTCCTCGATCTTGTTCTTTATCCTCTGCCAGCCACCGCACAGGGCAGTGATCTGGGCACTTTGACCAAACTGGGTCTGGTGCTCATTGAGAGGCTTGTACGTGACGGTCTCTTGGACGTTGAGAACGTTTGACCAAGTGAGGTTCCATGAAACCATGGTCACGGTCTTGTTGGCGGGATCGACGTAGGAGCACTCGTAGACGTGTGACTCATCACCAGCCCCTATCAATGCCTTGATCCATTCCGGGGCACTTTGCTTGCAGGTGATGAGACGCTCCGTACGCAGGATGCCGGTCGCGGGATCGACATCTCGCGACAGCGTGTCGACGCCGGTGACATGTGTAGACTTGTCGTTCCATGGGCAGTACTTCCGCCAGTTGGCGGTCGATACCTCGTCCCAGGAGTAGTTGAAGGTGTGGTTGCTCGAGAAGACAGAAGGCATGGTGCCTGTGTAATACTCCGCTTCGCGGTTGATTGTTTGCAGTGACTGAACTTGAAGCTCGGTATTGACGGTTGGGGATTACCGAGGGATGCTGAGACGCTCTCGGAGCTGACGACGAATGTGTGTCGTTTGTCTAAATTCGCGGTGTATGGTCTATGATAAAGAAACCAGTGCACTTTTTCAGTTGATAGAACGGCCTTCGCGTCTATCAGATTCAATAATTGTGGATTAATGAAAGTGTTTGGCGATGCCGATGAGGAAAAGAGAAGGGCGGAGGCGCGGTATTAAATTTTCTGTGTTTCCTTAATTGAAGGCGCGAAATCTTATCGGGAAATCGAGGGCACTCTGGCTTTGTGGCGATAACGGAATCTTGCGGCTAAAACCTCGCTTACCATTCCCGATGTGGTAAGGCTCATGGGGATCGAAAAACCTCGGAATGAGGGAGACTGGGTGAGCAGCCAATTAGCACCACCAAAGGCTGGCTTACAGAGGTCCAGCTCCTTCTACGAACGCAGCGTTTTCCGGCCGACCGATTTATGGGGCACAGCCCAGTGACGTTCGGGTCTCTTTCGGCTTCCTTGATTCTCGATCCACATTCCCCCTCCGGTCCAGTCTTCCGTCATTGATCAACTTCCGGTCATTGTCGCCTCCGGTCTCCACTGGCGCCGACTCCCCAGCACCGATGACAGAGCAGCGCCGCTGTCGTCATAACGTGATATCTGATGTATTGAGCTCTCACAATTGCTATCCATTGGAACACATAATACCCTCACCTCGTCATCTGATAAGGATAGTCAAGATTATTCACGAAAATGGAAATGATTCAATTCGCAGCTAACTTATGTCCAGTACTATCACCATACTGACTTGCAACTCGAGCGATGTGATTCGAGATCCTATCAATAATCATCACCTCTGCTGATAACTTCCTTTACGGTTGGTCTCAGAATGATAGTCTGTAAGGGGTTAGTCAAGCGTAGTTTCTTAAGGGGCCATCTTGCGACTCACGTGTTCGAACTGGGCTGTGTAAGAGCCCTTCTTATCGAATAATGGCGGATAATCTTGAACAATACCGCTTTGCACTAGGTTGTTCAACTATATGTGATTTTAGCTCGAAATTCGATCAGAGGATATGACTGGTTGTGATCGACTTACACCCAGTAGATATTTCTCGCATCCGATACGGTCCAAGTATCGTCTGCAGAACGGAAGTGTGCCAAAGTTCTTGTTAATCACATTCAGCAGGGACTTCGCCGAGGACAGCCTCAAGTCAACCTTGGGGGCATCCTTCATTTTCGCGTAGTGCGACACTTCGCCCGACTCTCTGACATAACCGTTTCCGGTGCTGCCGAAGGTCTCAATAGCGAACACATCACCCTCCTCCATCTTTGTCTGGTCATTAGACTTGACAATCGGGACGCTCTTGTCACCGTGGATACTATAATGGTGAATGGTATGTCCATTCAAGTTGCGAATGGCCTTGACAGGATAAGTCTGCCCGTTGATCTCAACCTCGTAGGACTCCATGGTCTCCTGAATGGAGGCACCGATCTCTCCGAGGCGTGCGTCAATTCCAGCCTCACGGACACCAGTGTTGGTCGCCTCTCTGACAGCCTCCAGGAGGTTGTCATACTGAGGGCTGAAAGCGACGGTAAAGGCACTATCAACAATACGTCCGTTAACGTGAACGCCAATGTCAACTTTCATGACATCGTCCTGCCCAAGAACCATCTTATTGCCCGCATTCGGGCTGTAATGTGCTGCGCAGTCGTTGAGGTTCAAGCCAGTTGGGAAGCCCATGCCAGCAACGATTGCGTCGCCTTCTTCAAGGCCTGAGTGACCGAGAAGCGCCCGGACACTGTCCTCAATGTTGTTGGCAATTTCGGTTAATGTCTGGCCGGGCTTAATGTTCTTTTGAGCCCACTGGCGAACTTGTCGATGAGTCTCAGCCGCATGGCGGTAATCCGTGAGGAAATCGTCGTTGATCCGGTCCAGATGGCGCTTCTCCTCGTTCGTAGTGCGGTAAGAATTCTCGTTGAGATATTCAACCTCTTCGCCCTTGGGGTAACTGTTGTTGGGGAAGAGCTGGGACATCAGAACTCTCGGAGGATCAGACTGGGTGGTGGGAGCCTTCTTCTTCTTCTTCTTGTTCTTCTTCTTCTTTTTCTTGGCAGCGCCAGTGGAGCTGGCCGCTGCGCCTGCATTGTTTGCGTTTTCATCGGCCTCATCGTCTGACCCTTCACTGTCCTGTTCTGCTGTATCGCCGCTGGGTCCGGTCTTAGCGGTGGCCTTGCCGTTGGCAGGCGCACTACCGTTCACTGAAGAGATTGTTAGCTACCAAGTAGAAGTAAGAGCTGAGACGTATAGCATACCGTTGAGCTTCTTGAGCTCCTCGGTGGGAACTTGAGCCGCCATGTTGACTTGCCTGATTGCTAGAGCAAAGGTAGGTGCAGTCAAGAGAAAATCACCCAGTTCGAAATGCCTCGAACATATAAATGCTAGCCCATGTGCCCCACCAAAACCTTCAACTTTTGCAAAACCGCAGGGCGTAAATTAGGAAGGCTTGCAGGCCTAATGGAGGGGCAAGTCTGTGCCGCAATCCGCACACTAGCCACTTTCAGTAGGGGCAAGCCACAGTCCTTTGACTTAGTGAGCTCGCCCGGTTTCGCTGATATGTGTGCTTGCACATTGATTTCGTCACTACTGAGCTCGCCTAACAGCTTGCCTCTTAAGCATCCAATTGCCTCTCCTACACTGGCCTTTTCCTCATGTCCTCTCGGCTCCGCTCAATCCATGGTTCGGGATGAGGCATGCCACTCCGCTACGCTCCGATCCGTGCAGCCCTGCGGCCCCGACCCCGTGCCAATGCTGGCGGCGGCGGCGGCTTCAGCAACAGCTGCACGCGAGCATCCTTCCACAGCTCTCGGCCGCTCCGAGATGACATTGATGACAGGAATCATTACGAAACGCTGAATGTCCACCCTGACGCCTCGCCAGCGGAGATTAAGAAGTATGTTCTATAGCAGCCATCAACTACAAGGTCGAGAGTCCCATCAGGTAGCTAATCAACCAGTGCTCCAGGTCCTTCTACTCGCTCTCGAAAACCCACCACCCAGACCACAACCGTCACGACCCGCATGCCTCGCGGCGCTTCATGCGCATCAGCGAGGCATACTCGGTCCTGAGCCACCACGAGAAGCGCGCCAAGTACGACCGCGACGTGCTGCGACGCCACACGGAGCAGCACCACCACGGCCACCGCCCGCGGGCCGGCGCCTCCTACCACAGCACCGGGCCCGTCGGCGGCCGACCGCCCTCGGGCCTCAGCAAGCGTCGGGGCACCTTCCAGGGCCCGCCGCCGAGCTTCTTCCGCAGCGGCGGGTGGGGCGCGCAGTCAGCGAAGCGCAGGGCGGCGCACGAGGAGAGCACGGGCGGCGCGGAGGGCGCGGCGGCCGGGTCGCAGCATGGCGGGATGGGCCCGGGGCAGGATCCCTTTGGGCATCGGGATGACGTGCCGCACTTTGACAAGCAGTCGCACGAGAAGACGGGGCAGCGCATCGATCAGAGGCGCGCGCAGCGGATGGCTGGCCAGGGGGTCGAGATCGGTCCTGAACCTACCATGGCCGGGAGCTTTTTTGTGATAATTGGAGTGCTGGGACTGGCAATTGGGTTCCCAATCTTGCTTTTGGGAGGTTGGGGGTCGAAGAAGAGCAAAGACAGAAAAGATAAGAAAACTGCCGCATAAGACATGGCACTTCTGTCTGTATTAGTGTATATCACCATGAGCATAGATGTGAAATCCACAGTTCAAATACTGAGTAGTGCAGGGATATGTACGCATGGTATTGTGAAAGCTGCGAGCGTCAACTACCAAGGAAAGTTGTCTAGTCTACACTCCAAGAGAGGCGTCCACCGAATGCATATCCTCTAGGATAAGAAAAGTACACAGATTTGCGACCCGTCAAGATTACGCCGAAATGCTTCAAAACGGGTTTCAATCCAAGTTATCCCTTTAACCCTCGAAGGTGAAGCTGACACCGACCTATGTGATGGTAAGTTCCATGTCACCTCAAAATCAACAAGATTCAGCATACCTTGTGGGTGGCCTGGTCGAGCTTCTGGGTGTCGAAGGAGGCACCAATGCCAAGGGTGGCACCAGGGCGGAGGAGGACGTTGTAGGCGACGGCAGCAACACCACGGTCGTTGATCTTGCCCTGTAGCAGACATCAGCAAAATGTTTTTAGTCCTGAAGATGCGCAAGCCCGAAACAAACCTTGACGAAGGACATGGGGTCCAGGCGGTACTTGCTGGCAACCTCGAGGCCAACAGCGTTTCCGGACTTGGAGTTCCAGGTGGCCTTGGCACCAGCCTCAACCTGGCTGTTAACCTTGTGGTAGTAGCTGGCGGCGAAGACGCTGAGGTTGTCGGTAGCGGTGATGGCAGCGCTGTAGACGGGGGCGGAGTAGCCGACGGCAGCGGAGTAGCTGCTGATGGCGGCCTTCTGGACGTCGTAGCCGGCAGAGCCACCGGCGACGAAGCCCTCGTGGGCGACGACGGCGTCGACGTTGGCGGTGGGGCCCTTCAGGAGATCGAAGAAGGCACGGCCGTGGAAGTTGCTCTGCTTGAAGTGCAAGTTGAACTTGGCGCCCTTGGCCTGGGTGGCGGGCAGGAAGGAGAAGATACCCTCAGCCTTGAGGCCCTTGGCCAGGCTGTCAGCCAGCTCCAGCTTGGACTCGAGGGCATTGGCGGTGTTCCACGTTTGCGTGAGGGTCAGGCCTGTTCGTTTGTAGAACATTAGCAATTGAGCGAAGCCGGATGTGAAAGCCGCGCTGAACTCCATGGGCAGACCACTACGTGGCCCCCCAATCCTGGAGACACTAAACTGTAGCGGCGGCTTTTGTTTCTGGGGTTTGGGGCGTTTCTTCTTGGTACCGAGTTCTTTGTCCGTGTATTTGCCCTCCAGCTGTTTGATCGCATCGCCATTAGCCCCTCTATTCCATCTCGCGACGATGGTTTCGCATGCGAAGTCCCATCCGTGGCATGACGTACCGCTCCGCTAGTAGCCTTCTCGTGGCTGCTCTTGCCGGTCACCTTGAAGGCAACATTGTTGGGGGTGTTGCTCTTGACCTCGATGGTGCCGGCGGACAGGTGGTAGAAGTCCTTGTTCAGCAACTAGAAAACCCTTTGTGAGCTATGCGCAACATTGTTGAAGGGAGAGTGAGAGAAACTGGCCGTCTCCCTTGAGCTCCGTGGATCGGTAGCTAGGTAGGACAGGACAGGATGGAAGCGCTTACGTCGTTGGCCGACTTGGCGATATCTGAGAAAGCTGGGACAGACATGGTGAGGGATTGAGAGGATCAATTGGGTATCAACGGGAGATGTGAGGGATGAGTGAAGCTCTGCGCAAACGTGGAGATGCCTTTTGGATGGGGGTTTGGGTTGTTGGGGAAGAGAGGTCAAAAGGAAAAGGTTAGGTCAGGTCAGGTTAGGTGGTTGCTATTGCACACCCGGGAAATTTGTTTTCTCGCGCGCATTAATTGGACCCATCGGCTCAAACCGGCCCAGCAACAAGGACCTCTACCCCGAAGCTAATAGAACAGAGGCACCTTGTTAGGTGCAGCTGGCCCTCAGTTACAGCTGCACCTGACCTCATAGGGCGAGCTTCTTAGCCCCATTCGGCATTCATCTATCCCCACGTGGTACGAGTGGCCTTTTCAATGGTGCTGCATCTCGCTAATTGATGCTATCCCTTGTGTCACATCGCCTTGAAGCCAAGGTGGTTCCTCATGCTGTTGATTTATCTGTTTATTTGCTTATCAAGTGTATCAAAATAAGACGAAAGGCATCATCTCGTCATATTAGGAAGGCACGAAGACAAATGGATAAAGTCACGACTATTGCGTTAAGTACAAGTGTGAGGCAGTGTTGTTTCAGTTCTCACACATAGTGAACAGGCCTAGAGCAAATGCAACAAAGCCAAGTGAAGGATGGATATTTTCGCATCCTGAAATGAGCCAGTCAGTATCATAGTTGCACATGCAGATTCAAACAGTCTAAAATGGGTAACTTTTCCATTGCAATACGATCAGTCTTGATATCCGTTTTGCGCCTTGAGACTACCTAAAAAGTACCGTCTGAAGATAATAGCTCCCTTACCTACTGAGTCTCCTCATACTTCGCAACGTGAGAAGCAATAGCCCTAGCGTTTGGATTAGTCCGACACTTTGTTTCAAGGCAATGGAGCAAACTCACCGTCCACTGGGATCCGACTGCTGAACCCACTTCGGCACCCATCTCATGACTGTTGAGGCGCAGTGAGGAGGGAAGTGCTCGTCGAACATGCAGCGGTACCAGTAACTTGAAATATGATTAGCAAACTCCGGGTTTGTCGTGCTGAGTCTTGACTTACGCCTCTTTGGTATCCGGGATATCATCTCCCCATTCGGGCTTGGGGTTCTTCATCATCTCGTCTGTGACGTGAAGCTCGGCGTTGTCCTTGAGGGCGTCAATCCACCCGTAGCCAACACCATCGGAGAACTGCTCCTTCTGGCGCCAGAGGATGTTGTCCGGCAGATACGCCTCGGTCTCCGGCTCATCGGTGGTATCGAAGGCCTTGCGGAGGATGTACTTCTCCATGTGGTCCTTGTCGATCATCTTGTCCGCCGGGTCGATGTTCATAGCAACCTCGAGGAACTGCTTGTCCAAGAAAGGAACGCGAGCCTCCAGACCCCACGCGGAGGTGGACTTGTTGGCACGCAGACAGTCGGCAAGATGTAGGTTCTTGACTCTTCGGACGCACTCCTCGTGGAAGGCATCCTTGTTGGGTGCGTGGCCGAAGTAGAGGTATCCGCCGAAGATTTCGTCAGAGCCCTCACCGCTGAGCACCATCTTGATACCCATAGCCTTGATCTTTCTGGACAGGAGGTACATCGGCGTCGAGGCGCGAATAGTTGTGACGTCGTAGGTCTCGAGGTGGTAGATGACATCGGACAGGGCGTTAAGACCATCCTCGATCGTGAAGGTCATAACATGGTGCTTCGTGCCGAGGAACTTGGCGACCTCAAGCGCAGCCTTGTTGTCAGGGGAGCCTGGAAGCCCAATTGAGAAAGAGTTGAGTTGTGGGAGGTAGGTCACGGTGGACAGCGTGTTGTCGTCGTCGATACCAACCAGGCCCTCACCCTTGTCAAGGTCCTCAGGGGCCGAGGCGGTCTCACCGTTGGCCGCTGCCAGAGCAGCCTTCTTGAGCCGCAGGGTCTCTCGCTGCGCAATAGATGCTACCAAGCTTGAGTCAAGACCTCCAGAGAGGAGGACGCCGTAGGGAACTTCGGCCATCAGTCGTTTCCTGACGGACTTTTCCAGTGTCTCTCGCAGCAGCTTCAAGTCCACAGGGGTCTGCGGCACTTTTGAGCCATCCCACCATGACGGCTGGAAATATCTTGTCCTCTCGCCGGTCTTGCTGTCATAGACATGGCCAGGAGGGAACGATTCGACCTTGTCGCAAACGGGGAACAAGCACTTGAGCTCTGAGCCAAAGTACACCGCGTTGTTCTCTTTCGAGGACCAGCCCTGGTAAAAGGTTGTGATACCGATAGGGTCGCGAGCGGCAATGGTGCGGTCGAGGTTCTTGTCGTAGAGCACGAATGAGAACATACCATCGAGGTACTTCGGGGCATCGAGGCCATATTGCATATACTGCATGGCCGTCAATCTCGGGGCATCAAGGGGCACAAGTGTAACAAGATGGGTGTGACTCACCAGAGGAATGATGACCTCGCAATCGGACGTCGTCTTGAAGTGATACGGCGTCTTGAGGTTCTTTCGAATCAAACGGTGGTTGTAAATCTCGCCATTGACGGCGAGGATGATGCTCTCATCGGCATTGGTGAGTGGTTGAGCTCCGCTCTCTGCTTTCCTGTAAGCGAACGAAGTCGTCCCGATTATATCAGAACGCGACCCACCAACGCCGACGATACTGAGCCGTTCATGGCAAAGTACTGTAACACATGGTCAGCGAGGTTTGTCCAGAAGCAAATGAGGGGCCTCCTTCTGAATATCCATACTCGTGTTGTTAGAAATGACACTGCCGCCTGTGAAGAGCGCATAGGTTAGCGACACTGATCCGGGTTACTTTGTGTGACTCAGAACTCACTCCAATCAGGTCCTCTATGCCGGACTCTGCAAACAACAACGTCAATTGAGCTGCTCTACAGCGCCAGATCGGGATACTTACGCCTTTGATAGACGAAGGGCAGTCGGCTTGAACTTTTGGACGTCCGGATGACTTCTCAAGTGTTAGTGGTCAGGTGCATGCATGGGATGTTGAAGCTTCATGGCGGGGCAGAATTGCCCCTCCATCGAATGACTCAAAAGCGCAATGAAAATTATCACCACTTACCAGTGACAGGCGAAGATGCCACACATGATGAAGGCAGCTTGCAATTGGGACCTGAGGAGATATCCTGTATGCTAGATAGGTCCTGTGGCCAGTCAGTGCAAGACAAAGCTTATATACTCACGCTGATTCCCCGAGGTGAAGTGTTGTGCACGGGGGTTGTTGAGGGATGGGTGTGGGAGGAAGTAGATGTCAGGTCTCGAAGAAAGTCACTCGAGAAAAAGATACCAAGCGCCTAGTGGAAATTCTTGTGTCAGCCAAATTCGGCTCTCCCTGATACACGGAACGAGCCAGAGATAGTCTAAGGTACGGAAATTTTGATAGAGCTAAGGGTAGCTTGTAGGTGGCCACCGGCCGATACCGGTTGACGGCCAATTGGCCCCAGGGCCCGTCTCTGGGTCTCCATATTATGTAAATTGACTGATAAGAGTCACAGCACAAGCACTGCACCTTGGAGAGAGACATTCCTAATCTTGCCACGTGAGAAGCCATATCTGCATCAGAAATGATGCGAAGGAAGCGTATAAGAGCGCTTTTGGACGGTCTGGCGACACCTGGCCATGCTGCGTCATCCAACGACAGCTCACCTTGACCATGCATGTGGGATGCGCGTGGAGAGAGGGCCGAAGTAAGCCGCAAGCATGCACGCCAGCGGCCTTTGACATGGTGCAAGGTCCTCAGCGCTGGCCAGGTCTGGGGGTTGCATGCTTGGAGGCGCACGTCACGCGGGATGGCGAGTACTTTGCCGCCAAGAACCTCGTCCATGTCAGGAACGTGGCGGCGGCCTTTTCAGGAGACTGGTTCACACACTGCGACCTGCATTTGATGTGAGGGTAACCGGACTCTAGAACCGGATATTCATTATCTATCGGCTCAGAAGAAAAGGAACTTTGCGATGACGCAAAACTTCCTGCTTGAGATACGAATCGAGTTCTCATAGGTCAGCCATTCCATCGTCATGCGTGTCCTGGAATTCGTAAAGTCCATGTAGCAATGATGTCTCATCTAAACTCCGTGAAAGCAAGTAGCCATCTGTGGTATCCCTAAACTCCTTAGACCTCGTAACCTGATGAGGCAAATTGCTTATAGCTGCGTTCTGTTCTCTAAGGCGCCGGATGCTCACGCACAATGCGTCTAATGCGCCTCTCGTACTCGGCTCGGTCCTTCTTAAACAGGTTGTAGGCCTCAGCCTGAGCGGGTGACTCAGGATTGGGGTCATTCAACAGATCCTGGATACCAAGGAGGATTTGCTTAATCGTAATGGCGGGCTTCCATGCTTCCTCCTCGTTCAAGATTGAAAGACAGACGGTCCCAGAAGGATAGACATTGGGGTGGAATAGTGGGGGGACAAACTTGCCTGAAGAAATATTAGCAGATAGCCTCTTAAGACGAAAGATGTATGAAACAAATGCATGTCTGGACTTACACTTCGGCGGCTTCGTGGGGTACTCTGCACGATGAACAAACTGATCAGCAAACTTTGCGCCTTTTTCGTCGAGCGCTATGCACGCCTTGCTTACCATCAGGGAAAGTCATGACGAGCTTGAACTGGCCGTTTTCCCAGATCGTCTTCTCCTTTCCTGGAATACCGCACTCCCAGACCTTCAAGTCAAGCACTCCTTGGGCATTCCTCTGAGGCTTCGCATAAAAGCCAAATGGATGGTCCTTACGCCACTGCTTCCTGAGGATGAGTCAGTCACTGTAGCTTTCTGAAACGGAGCGCGCGGGGGTGCTAGTTGCGCCAACACGCACCTCTCCTCCTGGAGACGATTTTGACAGAGAGACATGTTAGATGTGAGAGATTTATGCTCCGGTCAGATGGAAATCCTAGTTGGCCTAAAGACGGCAGGTGCAGGCCGTCGTAGGCTGTTGATGTAGTGTGATGGGGAAACGAGGCTGAACCTTGGGGATAGCCAGAGAAGTGGGATATTGTGGGGAGAATCCAGATCTAAGCAAGCCAACCCGACTTTCTCTAGATGATAGGATGGCCTAATCTCCGGTGAGATGCCGAAAAGAGGAGAAGTTGGGGGTTTCGTGGAGTGCGAGGATGGAAATCGTGTAGTGAAGGGGGTTGCGAGTGGGATGATTATGAAGGTTGATTTGCGATGCGATCTCAAAGGAAACTGGCAGAAAATGCGGGAGTCCAGATCAGGAAGGCGGACAAAAGGAGACGCCCCACGGGCCGCACCCTCCAGCCTCTTCGATGCGGGGCAACACCCTTCCCAGGCCTCAGGGCTGTCCTTGCTAATTGGGCTTTCCATGAGAGATTCTCGGGTAGAAAGTTATTGATAAAGGGAAGCTGCCACGATCTTTCGCTCGCGATAGTATTTCTATGAAAGATTCTTAGGGCAGCTCATCTAGATCATGACTTTGTACAAAGATTTTCCTTTCTATGTTGTAGAAGGATAGGTGTAGACATTCTGTATTATAGTGCTTCAACACCAAGAGGGACCCAAAGCAACCCACGGTTCAGTTCCTCGGCATTCCACTTAGACAGGACAGGCTAGCCACAACTACCTAGGTACTGCAAATCAGCTGCACCTCCGCTCTGACAACGCGGGTCCTGCAGAGCTTCCAAATTACAAGGCTGAACCCGCTTCTTTTCTCTTCACATGCTTACATTGGCCAAAGTTCTAATTCTACCTGCTTTTCTTTTCTTCAGCGTATCTTCAAGGCGCCAGGTATCCTGCCGCCCGCTGTACTTGGCTCTACATTGCCCAGATCACGAGAGCTTCATCCCGCGAGGTCTTGCTGGCCTGCCTGCATTAGCTCTCACCCACCTTTTCGGACACCTGCAGGCGTGGGGTTTCTGCTTGGTCCTCTACATCTCCCTCTCATCGTGACGTCTACTGCCGTATGCTTAAGCCTGAAATAAGAGGCAACGTAGTATGGAGTCGAAACCCGGCGATATCGGTGCAGCGGGCGAAAAGAAGGTGAATGAGGTGGCAAAGGTCGAGGAAGAGAAGCCTCTAGAAGATGTCGAAGAAGTCCCAGATCCAGATGAGGATGACTTGGACGATCTAGATGGTACGCATTCCGAAGAACGCTGATTCCTCGGAACAACATGATAACCTGTGAGTAGATATGCTCGATGAGTTCGCCACTGTGAACATAGAGCCCAAGAAGCCAGAGTTAGCATCCGGGCCAGGAAGGCCTATCGCTGCCACCGCTCCACCTCCTGCTGCGACAACTTCTGACGCAGCAGCGGACGATGTGCTAGGTGACGATGAATTTGCGAAGCAGCTTCAAGCTGGTATGGCCGAGTTGATGGGTGAGATTGAAAACTCGCCAGAAATGCAGGCACAATTCGAAAGCATCTTCAAGGAGCTTGGTGCTGCTGCGGATTCAGGAGCAGAGACACCAACGGCTCCGGCCGGACCATCTGCCACCCAATCTGCGGGCGCTGCCACATCTGAGGCATCATTTCAAGAGACAATTAGGAAGACGATGGAACGAATGCAAAACTCTGGTGACCAAGCCACGGCGGCAGCCGCCGCAGAGGGGTCCGATGACTTCATGGCAGAGCTCATGAAGCAGATGCAGGCCGGAGGTCTGGATGGGGAGGGGTCTGAGGAGGAGTTCTCTAAAATGCTGCTGGGCATGATGGAGCAACTAACAAACAAGGAGATCTTATACGAGCCGATGAAGGAGCTGAATGACAAATTCCCGGATTGGTTTGAGAAGAATAAGGCCACTACATCGAGCGATGATCTAAAGAGGTACGAAGAACAACAAGGCCTGGTCAAGGAGATTGTGGCCAAATTTGAGGAGCCAACATACTCTGACTCAAATGCGGCGGATCGAGAATATATCGTGGATCGAATGCAGAAGGTGAGGCATTCTCTCTGATTCTTTCGGAGTACAAAAACTGACTTCAATCCTACAAAGATGCAAGCTGCAGGGTCTCCGCCGCCAGACTTGGTAGGGGATATGCCCTCTGCACAAGAAGCGCTCAGCGCACCAGATGCAGAATCTTGTAACCCCCAATGATTGGGTTGATATACTGTTTTGAAAGCTATATCTGGGCCCGATTGGCCTGTCTTGTTTATACACGGAAATGATATACCGTAGAGCTTTGTTAGCCCACGAAAAACGCCGAATCTGGTAGGTAGCCATAACTCCAGAAAGCCGATAACGCCAAATTACCCCAACATTTTACAAAGACAAGAGCCAGGCCACTTCCTGCCTCAAGACATGTCCATCTGGCCCGAAGAAACAATGCCCTGGTTATCCTCCTGCGAAAGAAAGTCCATAAATAACGCATCATAATCCTCATCATCCGACCAGTGCGGTGAGTCAGGTCTAATGATCATGTCGCTAGAGGACGGCTGACTGGGCATCGAAGAGATGAGCGCATCAAGCTCGGCTTCCTCCTCGTGCTCCAAAACGTCCACCATCATGTCGTCCACCTCAACCGGCGCCTCCTGCCGGGGCTGTTCTTGAAGTTGTGTCGCATCCTCAATCTCGGCTTCAGAAACGACACCTTCCAAGTCGGCACTCTTTGCCAATCTTAGATCCCTGTCCATCGAGAACCATTCCAGCTTAAGTAGCTGTATAATATGTCAGTAAAAATCTGCTTGAAATAGGCATGATCACGCTTTATCGTACCTCATTCTCGCCACCTCTGCGCTCCCACCGTTTGTCGTCAGCCCTCTGCCTGACATTGTTTAAGAAAAGCTTCCGTCTGCTCTCCTGTGCTGCCTCTCGCTTCTGGACTACCGGATTTGGTCTCGCCGGTCTTGAAGCAAACTTGAACTTAGGTGCTGGTATCGGTGAAGACTGGATCTCGCGGCGCGGCTGTATGTTGGGATCGCGGAGGCCCAGCGGAGGGGATGACGCCTGGATAGGTGACGAGGACAAGGGAGATGGAACCGCAGGGCGATACAAGGACGAGCTGTCGCCGGTAAAGACGGGGAGAGGCATTATAGCGAACATCTCGAGGATAGAAGGTAGATGAAAATAGGACGGCAAGATAGTGACGGCGATAACATGGGTTTGTTATGTCATGGTGCGATGGTGTTAGCCTGGTGGTGGTAGTGGGTTGCTCTGTAGGCCTCGCCTTTGCGAGACGCGTATTTTTAATGGGTTTGCGCCCACTTTGCTAGCGCGTTTTCTGCGATGTCACGATTCGAATTGCCGGCCACTCGTTGACCTGTCAGCTGTTCTTAACCGCCACCAGCTGGCGCTCTTCCGCCATACAGGCTACGTCTGAAACCCATCTCACAGGTGAGGCTTTACCTCTAAAGTTCTCAATGCATTTAAGACATTTGTCTGTAATTTTCGAAAAGCACAGCGCCTTGGACTCAGTGACCATATATAGATCCTATGCATAACTTCTTGTTCTAGTAGATACAAAAGTCCACTTATGAATACTATATACTTACCTACCTTATTCTCATCAGTGAGGAACAACTGTAGAAGTGTGAAGAATAGGGAGGAAGCCGTTGAGCTTTAGCGGCTCAACACCTGCTAGAATACCCCGGTCGGCACCCCGAAGTCACCCGAGACGATCGGGCCACGGGCGGCCGGGGAGAGCCGACAGTGCCTAGAGAGGCCAAAAAATATTATTTTCGAAGACGTCAAGCTGGTAGCTTTACACCGAAACCTCGCCGTAGGCTTACAACATCGAATTTCAGAACTGTTGACAGAGAATGCAGCTTCGGAGAGGTGTGCCATGACCAATCGGTGAATGTACGACTTGTCGAATACCTCCTTGCCATGATGCAAGCCCCGACCATCTCGTCCACAATACTCCGTCGTGTGGCGTCCTCCTCGCCTTGGACATGCGCACAGTGCCGAAACCATGTCGTGAGGAGAGTCGCATCGCGACCCGATGCTGCTAGACGATATGCGACATCTCGATTCTCCTCTTCAGCTAAGCAGAGTGCTGGGCCATCCCGCCGACGACTGGTGCTTCTTGCTGCGACAGGTGGTGCTGCCGGAGCTAGCATACTAGCTTTCACCGACGACATCAAGCAGAGCTACGAATCGGCAGAGAGGGCAGGAAGAGTGGCATCTGCGTTGGGAATATGTATTAATGAGTACGGATATCTGGTTTCAATCGGGTTATTGGCTTTGGCTAATGGACGAGCAGTTACCGGACAACATTGAATCAGCGCGACAAGATCGAGGATGAGGAGGAAAGGACAAAGCTGTTGAAAGATTGTCACAAGAGATGCGCTGTGAGGACACTGAGGGTGTTAGAAAAGAATGGAGGCATTTTCATCAAACTGGGCCAGCACTTGGTAAGCTTGACCCATACCTTCTTTAACTGCAAATGCTCACCTTGGGAACAGAGTGCGATGAATTATCTTCTGCCCTTGGAGTGGACTACGACCTTCATACCGTTACAAGACCGATGTCCAGTATCGTCTATCGAGTCTATTGAAGAGATGTTCAAGAAGGATACTGGAGAGGAGCTGTCCGACTACTTTTCCGAATTCTCGCCGGAGCCAATTGGAGCTGCGTCTCTCGCCCAGGTTCACCTGGCCACTGTCAAGGAAACAGGGCAGAGAGTGGCAGTCAAAGTTCAGCATCCCGGGTTGGCACTCTGGGCCCCATTAGACTTGGCCTTGACAAAATTCACCTTCAAGACGCTGAAGAGATTCTTCCCGGAGTACGATCTTGAATGGCTATCATCTGAAATGGAGCTCTCGTTACCCCAAGAACTCAATTTTGAGATAGAGGCAGAGAATGCAATGCGAACGAAGGCGCACTTTGAAAAGATTCCAAAGCTGCCGCTGGTCATCCCGAATGTTATTTGGGCGAAGAAGCGTATTTTGGTCATGGCCAATGAGTCTGGGCACCGCCTCGACGATTTGGAGTATCTGGACTCCAATGGCATCGACCGCGATGAGGTGTCGGCTGCATTGGCGAAAATCTTCAACGAGATGATTTTTGGCGAGGGGGCGCCACTTCACTGCGACCCTCACGGCGGTAATATCGCAATTCGAAAGAATCCGAAGCGACGCGGGGCCAATTTCGATGTTATTCTGTACGATCACGGTCTGTATCGTGACATCCCTCAGGATCTGCGCCGATCATATGCCAAAATGTGGCTTGCCGTCATCGACGGAGACATGGAGCGCATGAAGAAATACACAAAGGAGGTCGCTGGGGTCAATGATGAGCAATTCCCGCTATTTGCATCGGCCATCACGGGCCGTGACTTCAGTGTGGTCAGTTCGTCGATCTTGGAGCCGAGGTCTGCAGATGAGAAGGAAAACATCAGCGACGCCTTGCAGGAGGGTCTCCTTGAGAACTTAATCCAAATGCTGGGCCAAGTTCCAAGAATCATTCTCCTGATTCTCAAGACCAATGATCTCACTCGGAGCTTGGACGAGAGTCTGCACACTCGGTCGGGTCCGGTGCGAAGCTTCCTCATTCTCGCGAGATACTGCATGCGAACCGTGTTCAACGAGCAGGTTGAGGAAATCCGGAAGCTGGGATCACTGTATTGGCCGCCAAATACTCTGAGGCTCCTGGCGGCTTGGGTGGGATTCTTGAGGGTTGAGACCAAATTAAAAGCATTCGAGCTCTGGCTCAGCATAAAGAGGGCGGTGGGACTACAAGGCGCAACAACGGGATACTGATAGATGAGATAGATACCTTGCATAAGGGGAGCAAAATAGACTTGCATAAATTCAGAAGCCAGGCAAATATGTGTAATGTGGTCGGATATATAGGGTCGTCTCTCAGACAAGACTCTTACTAACTCCGGTGACGGGGCCCGGAAAGGGTAGGTAGGTCATCCTTCCCCCCCAAACCTTGGAAGTGTCTGTCACTCATCATGTCTCGAGCGAAGGTCGAGTCGAGGACACTAGAGACATACGTGCTTGGGCAGCTGCGGCTGGAGCAGCGTGTAGCGCGACAGGGGTGTCCAGGCGGCCGCGTGCCATTGGTTCCCGGGCCTCGGGGTGGAGCGGCCCAGCACTGGGAAGCACAGAGGGAGCATCGGGGCTCGCAGAGGGCAGAGAGGGCACAGAGGGCATATATCACAGATGTCTGCCTTTCCCACCACCCGCAGCCAATTGCCCTCTCTTCTAGCTCGATTACGAGTAGGATCCTGCAGTACGGGCAAACATTAAGACGAGGCCGCGGCTTATCAATGGGGATTCCCTATATAAACCAGCTTTGCCCACCTCCTGACGCCCTTCCCCCCTGATCGCTCCTTTCTCCTGATTTCCCCCCGTCAATCAAGATATTTGGTGTTCCCCTGGGAATTTCTAGATTATATTATATATCGCCCACATTCGTGATGTCTTCCTCAGGAGGAACCCCCTCCCAGCAACAGTCTGGCTTCTTTTCCTCCATCTCACTCAGATGGGACCAGTACGTTAGGCTTGGAGAAAGAGTCGCACCTGCACTAGGGGGTAAGAATACTCGCCCGTCCACACCCCCCTTTTTTTCTAGATAATATGATACTTACCACCGGCAACAGTTTTCCTCGGCGAACTATGGAGCACCCTTCATCAGGGGAATTTGAGGGCTCTCTTCAACAGTCATGACGTCCAGGAGCGATCTTTCGCTCGGTGGTTCAAGGCAAACGGTGTGTCTCCTTTTTCCCCGCAACCGACTTTGCAACGCCATGCTCATGCATGACAGGACATGGCTTCATCCAGTATGAAGATACCACCTCGGTGCCCGACCTCGTTGGCAGTGCGCACGGAATAGTGCTCGACTTGGGCGCAGGAATTGGCAACCAAATACAACGATTTGACAAAGCCAAGGTCCAACACATTTTCGGCGTGGAGCCCAACACCTCCTTTGCGGCGGTCCTCACCGACCGTATCAAGGAGCTGGGCTGGGAGGGCAAATACACGCCGGTTTTCTGCGCCGTTGAGGACGCTACCGAGCTGAAGAAGCACGGGATCGTGCCCGGCAGCGTTGACTGCGTCGTGTGCATGCAGGTTCTGTGCTCGGTCGACAAGCCAGCAGCCGTCGCTCGCGAGCTGTACAGCCTCCTGAAGCCAGGCGGAGAGCTACTTTTCTGGGAGCATCATCGTAGTACCGATCGATTGACTCGGATATTTCAATGTGAGCCATATTCCGATTCTCCTTAACGGCAAAAACTAATTGATCCAGGGCTCTGGAGTTCGGTCTGGTCCCTGTCTCTGGCAGGCTGCCGCCTTGATCGGCCTGTCAAGGACGCTTTCCTCCGCGCAGGCGATTGGGAGCTTGTGCAGATTGACGAGGATAAAGACGGGGCATTGATCATGCCCCGTGTCTGGGGCAAACTTGTGAAGCGCAGTGTGTGAGGCCAGGAAGGGGCTCAAGTTCATATGTCCAAATCAAGCTTTCATTTCTGCCATTCTTTTACGCCCCTTATAAATCAAAGTATACACTTATATTCTTTACTCATCATAGCCGCCCTTGACTCCAATCATACCCGTATTGGACCGCTTCTTCTTTCCCCACGTCTCCTTCGCCCACTCGCTGATCGTGAAACCCCAGTGTCCTGCTACCAAGGCACCGCTAAGGATGTTGATAACCTTAATGAGGAACACGAGGAAGCTGTCTCTCGATTCCTCGATTGATAGGAGAATCGGTTCAATATCGTACTTGAAGAAGATGCCTGGGATGGTGCGCTCGCTGACCTCCGTGCTCTGCTCCGTGACTGCATATTGATTTGTGAAAAGTAGCTTGCTCGGGCTACGCGAGCCTCCCATGCTGTAGACTGTCGGCACGACAGACATGAAGTATTGGAACTTGTGAAAATGATTCGGCGCAGTGTTGACGGTCAAATCCAGGGGGTTTTCCAGTGACGGATAGAACTGTCCAAAGGACAGCTCTGAGATGATGTGGGAGAAGTTGAAAGCTACACAACAACATTAGCAGGCCAATATACCCCAGCATAGTGAATGCTTGAACCTACCACTGTGATCCAAGTGCTCTCCGAACTCCATATAACCGTGTCCTCTCGCGGTGATGTGGAAGTCGCCCTGTACCTTATTCAGGTCAAGGTTGCCGTAGATGCGACAGCTGTCGCCCTCGGAACCCCAGAGCCTAGGCGTCTTGCCCCATCTAGCCCTCTTCTTGCCAATGGCAATGATGTCGTGCACATGCTCCTCGCCAAAACCCTCCTCGTGCGACATCGTAGTGTATCCCTCTCCGGTGATCAGCCTGCCGTGCTTGTCGCGATTAAGACGATGCATGCCCTTGCTGTCGACCCACTGCGCCCAGTTCGTCGGATCGCGCTGCAACATGGATGCGGCAAGGATGCGATCGCCCGCAGCATCTTGCACGTTTACGTGCAGGTCCTGACACTTCATCCGCACCACAATGTCCATGTTGATCTGCATTGAGTGGCCGACGCCCTTCTCGACCGCGAACGTGTGCGTCTCGGAGCCGCGCCACCACCGTGATAGCTCGGACCACACCAGTATGACTGTCACGACGATCATGGCGACAGTCCACTTGCCGCCGCCGGACGTGCGGGTGACATACTGAGGTTTTGATTTCGCTGCGGAACAATGGCGATTAGTGACTACGTGGTCCCCTGAGCTACCACTGGTAGAGAAACTGATGGAACTCACGGAATGCGTCAAAAGCGCTGACAATGCTTCCCTTGGCACCGAAGGCGTCCTCGTCGAGGTCGTGCTTCTCGAAACCGTTCATGGTGGCGTGTGTGATTGCGACAGCTTGTGATAGTAATGCGTGTCGAGAGCCGACTACTGCAAGTTCCCCGTGCGGGACTGCTTATCGAGTCTACCTCATTACCCAGGAGACGCTTCTGAGTTGTTCAATGTATGCAGCTCGCAGGGTCTTGGTCAATTGAATAGTGGTGTCGGCTTTCTGCTTGTCAATCTTCTACAAGGAAGAGAGTTGTCTGCAAGACCGGCAGCCTTCATGGTACAGCCAGGGTCTCATTGAGGACAGGTCAACCGAAAGTTATTTCAGCCACAGACCCCTGCTCAGGGGCGCCATCTCATTCGTGGCAGATGGCGCAGCTAGGGGGTGTACTTAACGTGTATCTGCAGGCGTTAATATAGTGAACTGCGGGGGAATACCGGCTCACTTATTCGGGATTCTTCTCACACGGCTATTATAATTGTACCTCACCTACTGGCGTGACTTACCCATGGTACTTTAGTATAATGGGAACTGATATTTTGGGACTTATTTGAAAGTATTTGGGAAAATATTTACGTGTCCAAACGAGTAGTGAAATTGCTCAAGCTGTTTCTGCAGATGTATGTCACCAGTTTGAGCTAACATGCTGCCAACTCCAAGATTCCCCTCACGAGACTTCCCCGCATATGATGATATCGATGAGGACTGAAAACTCCCATGGGAATCGCCATAGTTAACGCAGCTTTTTTGGCATTTCTATGAAATAGTCGTGACTACATTACAACCGGCTTCACTTTTTATACGTTGCTATACGTAATGTATGAATCACAGATCTCGTTTACTCTCGACACGGTCTGTCCATGGTGCGTGTTCACATAAATCAACCTCCAAACTTTTGCTCTGACAGCCGCAAAGGACATATCTTGCCAAACGGCGACTTGACAAGGCCCTCGCCGAGATCCAGTCCTCAGAAATGTTCTCAAATGTGCACTTCACCTTAAAGTTCCTCCCCTATCAGCTCTACCCAAATTTCCCTTCCGGCGACGGAGAGGACAAGTATGCCTGGTACAGAGATGAGAAATATGGCGGCTCAGAAGAACGAATGGGCATGTATACGCAACTCATGAGCTCCTACGGAGAACCCATCGGCATCAAGTTCAAATTCGGCGGGACCATTGGCAATACGTTGCACGCCCACCGTGTAGTGCAGTATTTTCAGGAGCACAGCGGTGCCGAGACGGCAGATAAATTGATTAACTCACTATACCGAATGTATTTTGAAGAAGAGAAGCATCCAAGCAAAACTGAAACATTGGTTGCGGCTTGTAAGGAGGCAGGCATCGACGAAGCAGAGGCCAGGAAGATCGTGGAGGATGAGACCGAGGGCTTGGCCGATGTTAAGAGCGCTATCAGAGAGTCTGGTCTGAACGGAATAGACTCAGTACCTTATATTACAATCGAAGGAAGGAAGCGGGATATTACACTCGTTGGTGCTAAGGAAGTTGAGCAATATGCCAAGGCTTTGCAGACTGTTGCGAAGGAAAGCAGTTGAAGTCTCGGTCCGTAGTTCAGCAGTGTGTTACTGTAAGCTTAACGGTATACATGTCTTCGTGCACAGATGGTTCTAAGGGGCCCGACTGGCTCCGTCTCCTCAAGGCTACCTCAATCGCTAAATGGCCTGTTTAATATAATGCCACAAGTCAAGCTTTGACCAGCATTTCTTGTCAAGTAAGGATTTCTCAAAAAGAAACATCAATCTTCTCATGTTCACGATTAGAAATGTTGACGTTTCAATGAAGTCCGATACAAATACGGTGGGCATGCGACGGACATTCATAAACAGTGTGAACTTGAAGGAGCGAATTTTCATTTGAAGACACTCTAGTATCTCTCCATAATCCACTGTCGTCTCTCTGCATCATTCATGCCACTCAAAAACTTCAACTCAAACAGCTTGACGGCAGTGTACTTCTCCACCATCTCTGATCCAAGCAGCTTTGTCATCTCCTCATCTTCCTCTAGCGCTTTCAAGGCAGCCTCCAGGCTAGTCGGCAGCTTCTTGATCACGTTTAACTCCTTCCTGTCGTTGTCGGTCAGCTGGGCGGGATCAATCTCGCAATCTCTCCATACGAGCTCCTCCCTGGTGACCACGCCATGAGTGCCGGCCAGGAAGACAGCGGCCATGGCAAGGTACGGATTTGCCACGCCGTCCAGGAGCTTAAACTCCCAGTGGCTGTCCTCAATCTTCCTCAGAGCGGTCTCCCTGTTCTGGGTGCCCCATGATACCCAACTGCCGCCCGCCCAGACGCCATCGCCTAGTCTCTCGTAGGACACAGGGTTGCTATATGTGAAAGCCAGAATGGCACATAGATGCTTCAGAACACCAGCGTAGAATTTCTCATACACCTGGGGCTTCGATCCGCCCGGCGAGGAGATGGACATGTGTGCATGGGACGCCGTGCCACATGTGTGAGGGAATGGTTTAGGATGCAAAGTGAACCGATATCCAGCAGCAGCAGCCATTCCAGAGATGACCTCCCGTGTATGGAGGAGCGTGTCGACTGCTTCGACAGGAGGCAGAGGCGGGAGAATGAGTTCGAATTGGCCCGGCGCACTTTCCGGATGAAGTTGTTCAACATAGATGCCCATCGAATCCAGCTCGGCAACGATATCGGCAAGAAGCTTGGGAATCTTTGGGTCGACGAAGAATTGAGAGACCGACCAGGCATGGCCATCATTGGTAAGGGTTTCAAACTTGCCATCGCCAGACGTCGACCGCTCTACCAAGAGAAATTCGATCTCGAAGCCGACAAGGAAGGCAAGTCCCTGTTCGGCAGCAATATCAACGGCTCTATGTAGTTGCGTCCGAGGACAGATCCGCACTCTCGAGCCGTCCTTCTCTCGAAACTCTCCGTACATGCTTGCGTGCCCCTTGATAGGACCCCACTTCAGCGAAGAGAAGTCCGGGTGAAGCCTATACTCACCGGTTCCTGTGAAGCCAGGAGCAATCCAGTCATTTTGCAGCAGACCCAAGCTAGCCGTTGTAATGCCAATGTCTGAAGAATTCCCTTCTTGTAGTGATGTTATGAATTTCCTGAAAGGAACCATGCGCATCCGGGGGGTAGCTGTGAGGTCAGTCCAGTTGATGCGGACGAACTTTGGCGGGCTGTTTCCTTGTAGGAATGTCTCGAATATTTCCTCATCGGTAAGTCCTTTCTGGGTATCCGGAGATGGAGACGGGTCATCATTCCATTCTGAGAACTCCAGCTCAAGCTGGTACAGCTTATTCGAGTTCTTGAAGAGAATGTCCCTGGTAAGTTCAATGGCTGCCTTCCAGCCAATATGTCCTTTACGCACATAATCGGTTAGGACCTACCATGGATTAGCGTTTGAAGAGCATATCAAACTAGAGATAGACTTGCCGTTGCCAAGACCTCGCGCACTTGTAGAGTTGCGAGCAGATATGTTTCAGGGAACCAATGTCCATCCGTACTCCACAAGATTTTAGACCACGGACAGAGCTCCAGAATCTGCCTCACGATATGCTCTTGGCCATCCTCGCTGACGAAAGGGAAGACCTCGCCAATGTCCGCGTATACATTAGCATAGACGCACGCCAAGTAGCCTGCTTCACGAGTGAATGGATAACTAGCATGCAGGATAACAATAGGGACCTCAGGATATGCGCGGATGAACTCCTGCAGGTGAGAAGGCGATGATTTTGTGAGTGTGATATCGTTATCTCCCAGGCCTGTATGGAATTGGATAGGCTTCTTGTGGCGTGCTGGGCTTTCTCTGATAAGCCCCGCAACCCGATGAACGAAGAGGTCATTGAGTCCATCGTGCTGTAATCTCTTAAACTGGCCTAATATTCCGAAGTTCACAACAATATCTGTGAATGAGTCCTTGGCTAGTGCAATATTAACGATCTTGGGAATATCGAGACCAGTCCGGTAGCAGATGACGGACTTGAACCCCACAACTTCTGGGTCCTCGATTGCCTCCTTGATAGCGGCATCAAATTCATCGAGCATCTTGTCAAATAGAGACTCGTCGGACATGGACTTCTCGTAGGTCATGCCATATCGGTTGATGATAGCAGCGGCAATAGCTTCGATCCTCACAATGCGCTTACACTGGTTGCGTGTGTATTGGTCGTGCCAAGCAATGTCATGCACATCTTGCTCGTTATCCAGACCATCATCGATCAGAATCGTCTCGATCCCGCCGAGGCAGTCGCTCACCCAGTTGTACCAGGCGTCATCCTCATCAACTCTCTTTTCCTCAATAGCGCTGACTACATCTTCCCACGTGGCCCCGCAACCTAGCACACGAGAGAGCTGTTTAACTGCCCGGTGATGAGCCAGACTGGTCGACGCCGCATGGATGGCATCGCCTGAAGCCTCGGTGATGATGGACATAAGCGGGTGGCGGCCCAGCGCCTCCGGCTTCAACAGCGGATGCGCATGATTGTCGATGATGGGTGTAAGACGTATTGCGCGGAGAACGGCGTCGAGCTGAGCCTTGGTGACGCCAGACTTGGCGCCGATCCCAGCACCTGCCCACGATGCCATCTCGCCAGGAATTGCGGTTGTTGTTTCTGCTATGGAGTTGTGAAGTCGGAATGACTGTATCCTGCGAGTCTTTGAAAGACGGCGTGCGCCGTGGAGCTTATCAGTGGGACATCCAGATATTAGACCGTGTGACGAATGATGACAAGAGGTGGTCAGAGCTCAAACAACATCACAAACAGCTCTGCAAATTGCTCATGAAATATCGAGACAAATCATCTGACAGCTTTCCAATATGATATTCGCATTGCGCAAAATCCAGATTGTAGCGAGCCCGTCTTTGGCTTTGTTCCACTGAGAGCGACAATTGCGCAATGCAACCAAAGCTGGTGGATAGCTTGTTAGAAAAGCGCCACCATCTTCAGGATAGCCACTTACAGGTACTACCTACATAGGTAGCGACCTGGAACACAGCCCTATCAGACCCCTAGTCCGTGCCGCCCCTGCGCAAGCGAGCGGCGGGGTATGAGCACCAGTGTCAGAACATGGCTCTTTATACAAGAAGTGCCCGAGATGTCAGCAAGCAAGGAAGCTCTTTCTTGTTGATTCACCCCCGAAGTATCTGCCTCTCTTATTCGTTTTTCCCTTTGTAAAAAAAAGGACTCTCTGAAAATGGGATCAAATAAATTCAACTCCGAAATTTGAATTCATGCCCTCCTGCTAGCTGCAAAGATAACTTTGAATTTATGGGTTGCTAATTTGCGTCTACATTTCTATCTCCCGTTATGCAAATGCTGTGAGTGGCTGAGTGGCACACCTCATTGATCTCAGAGTGACAGCAGTCACAATATAGCGACGGCTTGTGCTAAAGTGATAGAGAGACGGCGTGTTTCTCGCAAATGGGATGAACTGCGACCCATTCGGAGCTTTTGATCAGATCTCCAACGCCGAGTTATGGGATGCTATACAGCAACACAAGATGTTATCGAGCGTTTGGATATTTATCGGGACTGCACCGGGTGTGGACCGCCTATGCACGGTGAAGGGAATGCTTACTTCGGATCAATGCGGGGATATCAATGTCTTCAAGAGGTTTGTATCCAACCAGAAGCCCTTCTGGGTGACTGTTGCCATGGCCGTATGGCGCCTTTCCAATTGAAGGACACCCTTCCCTTCAATGTCAAGTAGTTAATCCTATACGGCAACGAAGGGAATCTCCCTCAATAAAAGTCTCGGCTCGCAATTGCAAGACATCGTGGCAAGCACAGAGTTCCCACGATTGAGTTATGTTAGTTTAGAAGAGACATACGAGAGGATCGCTGCCTACAGAAAAAAGGCTGTACCCCCACCGCATGATCTAATTGCACAAGCTTGTGCAGAAAATGGCAGGAAATACGAGACAAAGAGTGCCTCCTCGTGTACAAAAGGAGGTAAGGGGACACAGGAGTACCGAAGCGTGGAGAAAACCCGCGATCACATGTATTCGGAGCTGATTGATGTGAGATTTGCCTTGGAAAAATACATATACAGGCTTAGAGGGCTCACCCCTGGGATCTCTAGTGATGGGCAACTTGAGATTTCCCTAAAAGAACTCGACACCTACGAATTGCCACGGGAAGAGTTGACTCCACAGGGTGTGTACCCAGAAACGGAGGTATCAGATGATGAAGACGAAAATCTTGATCGGTATTGGGATTGGTATTGGGGGAAAGATGACAGTGAGGATATCTATTTCACCAGATTCCGATCCTTGTGAAGGAAGTTCAGCTGTCTCTGGGAGCAGTAGTGAAGATTCAAATCAGAACCTTGACGGAGAATAGCAGAGACCTATCCATGAACGACTCTGGGTCCTGTGCCTCTGAGCCTGACAATTGAGAGCTTTGCACTTCTTGCATCACTTTCTGCTACTATTGTGACTAGAAATAGGACGTTAGGAGAGGGCCAAAGATGATTTGCGACGTCTCTAGTTGCAATGCAAACAGGACGCTCGAGCCCAATGTGCCTTCCAACGCATCAAGGATTGCATTGAATTAAGCTGATATGACTTTCATTTTCGCGAAGCGCGTCGGAGGTCGGAGGAGTAGTCATATATCAAGTCGATATACGTGTGTACATACAGTATGAAATGAGTACCACAATATGCCTCACCCCTGAACGCCTCATTTCCAATCCCTTCCTGCAGGCCCACTGAGTGGGTGGTCCTTGCCGCCGTTGTCTTAATAGGAAAGGAGAGGGAAGACACGCGTATTCTGAGTGGCCAGGTCCCCTGAAACTACACAGTGTTACTCTGAGCGCACACCACCACGTGCAAACTCATCTGTGGCGCGGCAGTTGATGAGGGAGCCGGTCGCCGGGAATGCAATCGCCGTCATGCTGGGACTCGTATCGTCAGATTGTCTTAGAAAGGATAAGCCATCTTTGAGAATATTACTCATTGTTCTCTTACGCAGTAGAGCCTACATTGCATGGGCATGAGGAGGTGCTAGCTAGAAAACCTGCACGAACAAGAGACCATAGACAGACAGATACCCGTATTCGATGGGCGGACCGATGACACGTTTAACGTTACCTGCCAAGCCAAGCCCTTTCGTAATGAAGCAGATGCCACACACATACTGCGTATTGCATCAGTTGAATACAATGCAATGCACAGCCCCTCCCTAAATTCAGACCTTGAGGGAGGCGACTCAGGTGAGTCGTGCTGGAGGTGGCCAAGGAGGCCCCGTATCACATCGCTGAGGATGGCCGACCGACAGACCGACAGACAGACAGACGGACAGTGAGAAAAAAACCGGGAACTGGCTGGACTGATGATGCAGCCCCTCCAATTACCGCCAACCGCTCGCCCCAGCTGGGGTTCAGTTGATGGGTGGCCCACCAGCCACACCCTACGCAGGCGTGGCAGGCTAGAATCGCTAGCAGTGTTCTTTGTTTGAGTGGTGGTGGGCGGCACGGGTGGTCTTTGTGGGTCAGGAACCCGCTACCCTATCTGTATTCAGTGGTTCTGAGACCCCTGTCGTCCCTGGTGACAACCCCCAAGCCAGACACGGCCTAGTCTCCCCTAGCGGTCCTCTCGCCCTCCTTCTTCATTGTCTGGCCAGTCCGCCTCTCCAAGACCTCCCAAGACTTCCAAGGAACCCAAGAGATCTCCAAGAAACTTGGCTTCACTCATTCACCTTTTCTCACTCCATCGCAGGGCGACACAATCGATAACACTCGCTAGCTCCACTATCGAACCGCATCGCGGCTTCAGATTCACTTACACCGTCGCCGTCAACGTCGATTTCCAGCGTCCAACGCCCGCAGTATCTCGATTCCGCTGCGCGTTTCTTTTCTTGGCCTCATTTCCTGCTTTCCCCTTTTCCAGTCGCTCGCTCAACCAGCATTTTTTTTCCCACAACCCACGATGACCTCACTCGTTTCCCGCGCCGCCGCGGCCCTCCTCGTCGCAGGCAGCGTCGTAAATGCTGCTTTTTCTATTGATTCCGACTGTGAGTGCTTCCTGCCATCTTGAATGGCCGTTTGTCCTCAAAATGCAACGGTCTTGGCACGGGTCCGTACTGACAACAAGCAACATAGCCGCCATAAAAGAGACAGCACGAACTCTCGCTTACGATCTCATGTCATATTACAAGGGAAATCAATCCGGACAGACACCAGGAATTCTCCCTGGGCCGCCGCCCGCCGGCGACTACTACTGGTGGGAAGGAGGTGCCATGTGGGGGACCTTGATTGACTATTGGAAATTGACCGGCGACGACTCCTACAACTCGGTCGTCACGGAGGCCATGCTGTTCCAGGTTGGCCCGAACGAGGATTACATGCCGCCGAATGTCACAGCATCTCTCGGAAACGACGATCAGGGCTTCTGGGGCATGTCTGCCATGCTTGCCGCCGAGAACAACTTCCCCAACCCCGATTCCGACAAGCCTCAGTGGTTAGCTCTGGCGCAAGCCGTCTTCAACACACAAGCGGACCCAGAACGACACGACGACACCTGCGGCGGTGGACTCCGCTGGCAGATTCCTCTGGCAAATAACGGTTACAACTACAAGAACAGTGAGTTTCTTGGCGATCGAAAAATATACGGCTGTGAATCATGGCCACTGACATGTCATAGGCATTGCAAACGGCTGCTTCTTCAATCTGGGTGCGCGATTGGCGCGTTACACGGGTAACCAAACGTATGCCGACTGGGCCGACAAGACTTGGGATTGGATTACGGGTGTAGGTCTCATGGATGCCAAGTACAACATCTATGACGGTGGTCACGTTGAGCACAACTGTACCGATATCAACAAGGCTCAGTTCTCTTACAACAACGCCGTTTACCTGCTAGGCGCTGCCTACATGTACAACTACGTAAGTCCACATTGTCTTTCACAAATTATCAAGAGTAGGACGACTAACAAACTGGCAATTAGACCAATGGAAGCACAAAATGGGAGGAGAGGGTCACGGGGCTCCTACAGGCCACCTTTGATGTCTTCTTCCCCGACAACATCGCTTACGAGGTTGCCTGCGAGGAGAAGATGAGCTGCACGACAGACATGCTGAGCTTTAAGGGCTATGTCCACCGTTGGCTGTCAGTGGTTGGTCAACTCGTGCCAGGTGTCCATGACCAAATCAAATCTACTCTCAAGACCTCTACTACAGCGGCGGTCGCCCAGTGCACAGGCGGAGATAACCAGCGTACATGTGGGTTCGGTTGGAAGTCCGGAGTTTTTGACGGCAGCGTTGGTGCCGGCCAGACCATGAATGTTCTAGCCGCAGTTTCGTCACTTCTCATCGACAACGTTGCAGGGCCAGTGACAAACTCTACTGGCGGCACCAGTGTCGGCAACAATGATGCGGGTACGAAGTCTGACAAGTTCAACGAGAAGGCCGCACCACCCACCACAGGCGACAAGGCCGGTGCTTCTATCCTCACAATCTTGATTCTCGGTTCAGCGGCAGGCATGTTCGGATGGATGAGCAGCGGCATCTAGATCAAGCGCACGCTTGACTGCCCATTTCTTCGTATGACGTCTATAGAACATTCGCGACGGCCGTGATTACGCAGCACACTACACTACACTACACTACACTCGTCTTTCTCGACGCTGTTTTCCTTGGATCTCGAGATGGATACTGGCGTTCAGGGAGTGGAAAGATGGATACATCCACAGGGGAAGGAAACCATTCTTGTGGCGTTTGAATAAAGGTCCCTGTACGGCTTTTACATTCTTGCAAGGCATGCCAAGTTTCTTTTTTCTTCTTGCAACATAAACAACAACCCCCACAGAGGCATGTTGACCTCTTGTTTGGCTTCTCAACGGACGGACCTAGGGGCGGCTAGATCTTCTACATTATAGTAGCGAAAATCAAATGTATTGTTAATGAAACCATGACCTGTTGAAACCACCTCAAGTTATCGAGCATGGGTTATAACGCAGTGCTCAACGTGAGTTGTGATGGTTAGTCTTGGCGACGATGACTGTGAGACATGGAGGCGACATGATGGGTTTAGAACTGGCCATGGTATTCTCGAAATGCTATGCATTTTGAACTGAGAAAAGTGCTTCTCGTCTCATCTCTCAAATCAATGACGTACCTGTATGCCTTTGTAGAACTGAAAAGTGTCGAGTTGGCGGCGCCGAAGACCTGGGTTCTGCCACAGTGGGCGTTTCAGGAAGTGGAGACCGCTGCGAACCATTTGCCGAGGCGATCCTCAAACATCTGAAAGATCAGAAGACTGTTTCTCAGAAATCCTCTCATCCTAGTAGTACCTGGACGGCCAATCCGTCTATCGGTTTTCTGTGGCCTGTCTTCCATAACTGCGTGTCACAGTGCCGGTGATCATCGGACAAGCGCGTGTGTTGTAGCTACATTGCCGATCTCCGAAACCGACGCCGGAGCCGGAAGGCGAGCACCCAGCCAGCCAGCCCGAATCGGGGAGGTCCCTTCTCTGCAGAAACCCAAAAGGCACCATCCTTAGAGCAAAGACTTAACTGTCAGAGTGCTGGAAGATGGCGCCAATCCTAGACTTCAACAACAGGGCACTCTATCCCTCATTCGTCGACCTCCCCGAGGATGAGCCCACATCCACTGGCAATGATGCCACGGACAATGACTGGTGCCTCCTCGCCCAAGTCAAGGACGACATGACGATCAACAAGCCGACCCTCGTGCTGACCGACCGGGACGGCGCGCCGTTTGCGATGGTCTTTGAGGGGCTCGGCCGCGACGACCTGGACCTGAAGGCGCTGGGTCTCAAGAAGGGCGCCACGGCCGTCGTGCCGCGGGCGAAGCGCACGAAACCGGCCGAGGAGGGCAAGAGGGGATTTGTGCGTATCGCGGAGGGGCAGGCGGCGCAAGTGCGGGCTGTGCCGGGGCCGTTGGCTAGAGTCCTTGAGATCGGGTCGAAACTATCGCCGGCGTCGAGCGAAGTGCGGGATGGTGAAGAGAGCTGTGAATCCTGTGGGACGTCCAAGACAGGCCTGTCGAAGTGTACCGGGTGTGGCAAAGTCAGGTATTGTTCAAAGGTGAGTTTCTTTCTCCAGGAAACTGTTACGATTGAGTTGAGTGCTTATGAGAACGGTAGGCTTGTCAAGTCAAAGGCTGGAGCGAGGGAGGTCACAAGTCAGATTGTAAAATCTTCAAGGCAGTCAATGATATTTGGAAGTGATAGCATTAATTTGATGGGTCGTGATCAAAGCCACAACCCCCCCAAACTGGAACTTTAGCTCTTGCATAAAAGTAGACCTTGTTTGTAAGAGTTGATGTACGCCTGCAGCTAGCAACCCCATTCGTGGCCGTGTCATTGGCCGGGTTGTGGAGAGGTCCCAGCATGCCGGCGCCGGCTGGGATGGGCGGGTCGCGGGGTTAGTTAGGCTGCGGGGACGGAGATCGTTAACCGGCTCCCGATAGAAGTCTCATCTTCCGGCGCTCTGAAGAACGCTGCAACGGTATCTAGTCAAGCCTCGTCACATATAGACATGATACAACAAATGGAAGTGTTAAAATCAACTCTTTCTTTTATTACTGTAGAAGAGTACAATCATGATATTCTATACCTGAAGGAGGACCCTATCACTGGAGTTGTTTCTCAAAGCTCCGTGACGAGACTAATGATTCAGCACAAATGTCAAAAGGATTGCATTAGTGCGGATCTGGGGAAGACTCTGACCGTGAAATGTCTACGAGTTAAAAATAGTAGAGCATATCGCATGCCTTTCTAGGAACAGTGAACATGAAGTAGGGTATTTCATTCGTTGTATTTTCAAGATGCTAGAGGCGTGGATGAAGGACATTGCTCATGGCAAGCGTTTTCCGAAGCTATTGCCTTGTGACAATCCACTCCTCACGCCAAGAGAATCACGCCGCTTCGTAGAGCTCTTATAGCTCTGTCATTGCTGTCAAGCTGTCCGTCGTGTCGTCATAAGTGCTACACTGCTTGTAAACTGTCTATTTGTGCGAATAATTCGTTTGTTTGGACCGGCATTGTCTGCATACATCGCTCACAAGATGGCTGACACAAACGGGAAGAAGAGCGAAATCACCCTCAAGCCGGCACCTGAATACATCACAATTGACCCGAATGCTAAGCCGGGGCCCAAGAATGGCCACTATTCTGAGCTCGACCCCGTATTTGCATCTTTCAAAGATGCCACGGACGCTGCTATCGCACAAGTATGGCAATGCCCAGACTGGACAACCTTCAGACAAGCTTGGAGACTTCCTGGCCCATTACCAGAGGGCTGCCCACAGGAAGGCAAGGATGCTATCTCGACCTATGAATACGTGACGGTCCGAGATGGAGCAAAAGTTGAGATAAAAATCATGAAGTCGCCCAATGTTCAGAAGGATGCGACGCTTATACTGCGAACCCACGGTGGAGGCTGGGCTGTGGGCTGGCACGGCACCGAGGAGGGCGAAAATTTGACTGCGGCAGCACACCCCGAGGTTGTGCTTGTCAGTGTCGACTACAGGATGTGAGCAGACAATGGGTATTCATATTGAACTGGTTCTCCCACTAATACGAATTCCCAGGGCTCCCGAGTACCCTTTTCCATACCCTGTCAATGATAGTTTCGATGTTCTCTTATGGGTATGTAGGTTCCTATCTGGGCAATATGACCATGCTAATGAATCCAGTGCAAAGAGAATGCTTCTAAGCTAGGGGTGAACCCAGAGAGAATCATACTTCTAGGAGGCAGTGCAGGCGCAGGTCTGGTATGTATAGATCTGTCCGTTTTGCAGATATAAGCTCATTATCATTTAGTCTGCTGTACTTGCTCTGAAAGCGCGAGACGAGGGTGTGACTGGAATCATCGCTCAGATGCTGGACTATCCGGTCACATGTCATCCATCATTCTTCCCCAAGGACAAGTACGAGCTCAACAGCTACGTTCAAAATCACGACGCAACGATTGTGGACGCTGTGAAGATGGAGTTCTTCTGGGATCTATACCAAAAGCCCGCTCAGCCAGACCCGTACCACTCGCCACTCTTGGCAAAGTCTCTTAAGGGCCTGCCACCTGCTTGTGAGCCTCGCCATTGCTTCCGATCGCTTTCCGAGCTAACAAAATGTCCAGTCATTCAAGTTGCTGGTGCTGATCCACTTCGAGACGAAGCTATAGCATATGCCGAGGCCCTCCAAGAGGCTGGAGTTCCTGTTGAGCTACACGTCTACAAAGGACTTCCGCATTTCTTTTCCAATGGATTCCCAATGATTCCGCAGGGTATTGAATATCTAAAGCGCCAAGATGAATACATGATGAAAGCGATTAGTGAGTCCCAGTCTTTTCTATCAAGGTAGGAGCAGGCTGGGCCTGCTCGCACAGGTGAAACTCCTGTATGTTCTTGTTGCTAACCTACACTTAGAATAACGCCGTGGAGACTGGTCCCTTCATTTTTGAAATCCAAATTGTAAATAACATACTCCAAGCCTCTTGTATATATAATTTCCAAGGAAAGTCGACCTTCGAACATGCTTGAGCATCTTGTGAGAATTGTTCCAAACTACGCTTGCTTCTCCTCTGGTTTGATCAATTCATAAAGCACATCAGTTCGCATTGTATACTTCGTCCCCGCTATGACATCGTCTCCCGAGTGATATAGCCCACGGTGTTGAAAAATCAGGACTCTTCCAGCCTTTGGGTCGACATCTGCCTTTGTCCGTTCATCGTTGGACAAAAAGGATGTTGCTCCACCGACTAGCTCTGCGCTGTCACCAACTTCAGCTTTAGAATCGTTCAAGTACAGGTGCACCGTAAAGTGTGTTTTCAGGATTCTCTCGCCAGATGCTGAATAAGGCCCATCACAATGTGCTGTCGAATGATGTTAGCAAACGGGGTATAACGAAGTTGATTTGCGGTACTTACGTCTGAAGAACTGGCCTGGTCCATATCTAAGGAACCGCATCCTCTTATTTAGCTTGTGAAAAACCCAGTGCTGATCTAATAGTCGTCCTTGCTTCTTGCGCAGGGGACCGATTACCTTCACATCATTATCAAGCACTCCTAGCCGCTCTTCGATACCAGGTGCTCGTTTGCATCTTGACCACAAACGATCCACGACTTCTTGACAGTCCCAGATAATGCGATCGCTGTTGCGGTAGCTCGTCTCCAAAACCTCAAATCCGCCGCCGGCGTTCACCATCGCAGGCCGCCAAAATCGTGTCCCCGATTTGCCCCTATCGGCATCAGGCACACTCTCTTCGGCCAGGTGCAGAAGTGTTTCGCATTCGCTTGGGCTGATTACATGATCGAGTATAACAGCATATCGGCCCTCGTATTGCGGGAGACCGACCTTAGTCCACTCCACCGGCTTGACTGCGATAGGACGTGCATCATACGGGTCTTTCGTCAGGAAGTCATCCGGTATTGATACGTCATTAGATCTATAAGTGACGAAGTGCGGGACACCCTCCTTGATTTCTTCTTCCCCGGCCGAGTGGGCCATCTCGGCGTCTATGTCCAGCATTGTGAATGATATATCAGCGAATATGAGGTTTGAGAAATGTTTTCGAATGAACGCTGTGCAAAATATAGCAGATTGAATCAAATTGTCAGAAGTGAGTTATGAGGTCCAGATATAAGATAATCAGTGTGTCAATAGGGAGAAGAATCATGTAAACAAAAACATAATTAAGGATTTTGAGTAATTGACTGATGCCTAATCACTGCGCTATGGACACATGAGCCCTGTGGCATGGTGGAAGCCTAGCCAGGCTGTCAATTGGCACTGCCCCATATCGACTCACTTTCCAGCAACGTGTTACAAAAATTCGCGCTACTGTCACGTCGAAGCCCAAATGCATGTTCATCTTGTTTTGTTCATAGGTGAAGTTTGGAGTTGTGCAAAAACATCTGGCCAAATTAGGAATACCTTTCAATCGAGTCTAGTTACAGTATTGTGGCACGCTAACAAGTAGTGCTGAAATGTACTGTCCAAGGTACCTTAACAAGCGAAACCTGCCGCTTGCTAAATAGACTAGAACCGACTAGCTGCCGAACCCTCCTCAACACTTAGAGTAGACAGAAGAGAGCATCACGTCGTTGGGCTGTCTCTCAATGGTGGTTATCGGAAGTATCAATTATTTCAAGGATTCCTCCTGAAGTATCAGACAATACATCAGGCCGACTTTGGGATGATCCCTGAAGGGAAGCTAATTTTGCAGTGAAGGGGGGGAAAAGTCCCACACCACCTTTTCTGTATTTCAGTTTAGACCCCAGGGTGTCTTGCACCAATATCAAGCAAAGCTTGAGCCGTAGAATGGTCCGAAACTGGAACGATACGATAACCTTGCGGAAGTTTCCCTTGCAAAGCTATCAATTCGCCATCTGTCATATTACTCGTCAACTTTGATGGATACTTAAAGGATGCGTCGAACTCACACATGCGGATGGTAACAAAATCAATCACAACAGGCACCCAAGTAAGAAGAGCTAGGACTTGGCCAAAGCTCCATGAATTGTCCAGATTCGAATCTCCCATAGTGTCAAAAACAGACTTTCTGAATGCTGTGTAGGGACCTAGCAGCGCCCACATCATGACACAGCAGGCAAACCCATTGGCGAACGGGATCCAGATGTGGGCCATGTCTTGGAATCTTCTCAGTCGTTTAGATTTTCCGAGAAATTTCTTCCATTGAGGAAGTAATCTTGAAGTCTTGATCCTTGGGCTACTCTTCTCCATCCCGGGTTCCTGTCGGTAATGAACAATTCCCATTGCGGCGCAATAGATCCACCATGAAATGTTAAGTCCCAGGAGCACTTGGGCGACAGTTAAAACGGTTCCGAGTTCGTCCATGGCCAATGGGGCACAAGTGGTGAGCCAGATTAATTGCGTCAGTCCAGCGTCCCGGAAAAGCAGGTGTTCGAGGCGGTCAGGACTTCTCGTTAGCTTGTAATATATCCCGGTTACTGAGAGAACAAGAATAATGACAACGAACCAGAGTGTCAGTCGAATTCTTCGTCTTCGCAAATCTTTTGCAAGCGTTTGGAGTAGGAGTGGCGGGAATATAGAAAAGGCAGAGAGATACGTCGAGTTCATCAGCCCATATATTGAATTTGTCTTGTCAGGATGGATGAGGGATGAAGCATGACGATAGGTTGCCGCAACAAGCATAGAGATGGAAAATAGTAAAGCGGTATCTACAAAGGTGCTTACAGAACCATTGAATGCGTCAATCCACTTCTCATATCTGGAGTATTGTCTCAGTCTTTTGAGAGCTTGGATCTTGACAAGGCTCAAAAAAATGAAATAAATTGTCGAGAGGATCACAGCCAGGTAGTATGTGAACATTACCTGGAGAGAAACTCATATAAGCTTATTAGTGGTCTTGAGAAAACTAAGGAGTTGAATAGCTCACACCAATACCTGCCAAATCTTGATCACCTTCCCAGACTAAACGATGACAAACCTCTGCCGGACAATTCAGCGTAGGGAATTCAAACATTAGCTGATCTGTGAAGCTATTCGAAGGTATATCGTAATACCAGTCCATAGCTTGGCCGACATCTGGCAACGTCATGTTTTCTGGTGTCATTGTTTTCATGTAATCCCAGGTGGCTTCAATGGGGGGATCATGATAGGTGGTGTTCTGATATTTCACACTAATGAAGGCTGCGACCCAAGTAGCTGCTGTTGAGCAGCTCCTGTGTAATGGTTGAAGCCAGTCATCTGGTGGGATTTCCCAGGGTAAAAGGCTGTCTGGCGCGGTCATCTTGGCTGAGGATATTTGGTCTGTTCGAGCAATCTCCCCAAGAATGTATCGAGAGCTTAATTGATTTAGAATGCGTTCGATTGTTGAACCAAAGGTTATTCACACAGCTCAGGGAACAAAGGTCAACTAAGGATATGGGAGCACTTCTTAAAGGAAAAGACCACTGTGCCATTTTCAAGTTGGCCGGACTTGCCAGTTCTCCACATCGATGATCATTATTTGCCGTGACACAATCACGTACGAGGTATACGGCAGCCTGCCTAATCATTGTACAAGCTCGTACACATAGTTCCTGGCAAGTATCGGAGAGCCAATAAGGCTGTGTTTTGTGATGTGGGAAATCGCATGTAGCAGCCACTTCGTTTATGGCTTCGTGCAACCTGTACCAGTTTGACAAACGAGCATAGCCTTATGCTGTGTCCTAATTTGATAACTGCTCCCTTACCATAGTTCTAGACAAAAAATGCTTCTGATGAGGTTTGGTACATCACATTGAGAGCCGCAATAGGTATTTGCTTACCATTGGGCCTCAATTAATACTTGATTTGTCTTTTCTCAATCTAAACATCTAAATGTCTTTTGATCAGTGATATAATGCCAATACGCCAGACTTGCAGACGGACCTACCTCGGGTCATCACTCTCCGACCAATAGGGTGAGCTGGGTGAGCCTCGCTGCTACAAGCTCACCCTGGGCTGTCTCCGCGGGGTGACCGAGGTGATCTCTAGGTGATCACCGTGCAACTCGTCCGCTTTCATAAAAGTGACCGGAGAGTGTGACTCACTAGGCATCGAGCTGATCTATCCCCTGTAGTGGCGTGGCGTCTCATCTCTCTAACTGATGTCTTGCACTTAGGTTCACGTGCCTTTGTATGATGCCTTTGTGGAAATACTAGAGGTTTCTGTGCAGCCTCGGGAGTAGACTACAGCTTATGACATATCAACTTTACATATCCCAGTACAATAATTCGACTTAATACCTAGTACGGGGCGAGGGCATAGGCACAGCCCATTTCCGCAAGGGACGCTTAGTCATTTATTCCTGTCCTAGAGCACTACAAAGAGTCGATAGGTGATGGGGACTTTAGACCTTCTTGTAGTCAGGGTTCGTATACGCAGTACGCCCCCCAGTTACCTTCATAACAAACATTACTGGCAGATCTTTAAAGCAACATAATGCAGCCACAAGCCGCACACTGCCAATCCAATCCACAATCCTGAACCCAGACGAGGCCGATAAGACCAAGCAGGTAATTACTAGGGGTAAGTCTATGGATAATCTACCCTAGTCGAACGTGCTATAAGCATCAGGAGGATCTATTCTCAATGCATCTATATCAGGTCGGAATGAGTCCGCGAGTACATCGATCTCGGGGGCAACAAGCATTAGGCTTGGCTAGCTGTCGAGAAAGCTCTGACGCTCAATCTATCAGACACCATCCATATGTAGTTTATGTGCCTTTATTATCTCTCCTTGATATACATATAATGCTGGGCGCAGTTCATACACCTGTTTCTCTTATTGCTTGGGGTGATCCTTAAGGACTTGATAGAAGCTAAGGCTGCGCAGCATCTTTCTCCGGTTGTTCGTTGAAAAGTTCTGGTTCTGGTGGTGTGTAGAGTAAAGTTCCAAGGTTGGCAAAAAGTGTGGGGCCGCACAGATGTTCACGCACGAGGCGATTCGTTAGTAGGCTGCAAGTCCTAGATATATATATTACACATTCAGCGGGAAATTCCCAAAATCTGAAAGAAGGGCGTCTAGTGTGATCAGATAATGATAAGAAGAGCTATACAGACCGAGGGTATCAGAATTCCAGGTTGAAATAAGCGATCACGGTTCTTATGAAGCCTGTTATTAGAAATGCTTGATTAGAAAATAAAGTTGCTCCTTCCAACAAGACTTGCAGAAAAAAACAGGAAAAGGAGTCTACGAACCATATAGAGTTCAAAGTTTCAACTGCCCACGTTGAGCTGTATCAGTTGATTCGTGGTCCATCGCGGGAACTTCCCATAGGCCATGGCCTGGCAGGGTTACCTCTAACAGTTTTACGGTTCACTATCAAAGGTTTTCTAACCTGCGGAATAAAACACCGCCAAAGCACTTCTTCCGACTCCCCATTCAACTTACTTGATTCAAAAGCACCACCGACACAAGCATTAAATGCCCTCCTTCCATCCATATTGATGGGATTTGCAGACTTTGCGAACAGTCATCCACGGGCTTGAGCATCACATCCCTTTACCTCGCTACGAAGCGCAATACCCCCCCCTCCCTTTCTTTTCTCATATGTCGTTCTTCTGGTCCGCATTACCAGCGGAGCTACGGCTCTTGGTATTGGAGGAACTATCAAGGGCCTGCAACTGCAGCCAGCCCACGAAAAATCGACCAAACTATGCTGCTGTCTCTCGAGAATGGCAGGCTTACTTTGAAAGGGAAACATTTCACAGTCTTGTTCTACCCTCTTCCTGCTTGGATGAATTCGAGCATATCATAGAACGGCGCAGAACTCGGCGGCGGAGAAAGGGTAGTATTGATGAGGGACATTTCCCCTTGATCAAACATATTTGGCTGCGCATCGAACTCGAAGAATACGACTGTATGGTTTGCAAACTTGAGGAAACACAAGAAGAAATCGCAGGAAACAATGTCATCTTCACCAATGCACTCTGGAAGTTCCTCACTACCCTCTCCAAAGTGACTGCTTGCAAAAGTACAACAGCACAAGGGCTGACCCTCGAGCTCAGTGCTCACTCGCGAAGTGACGGGCAACATATGTTCCAAGACTTCTACCAGCTAGGTGACGACTACCCTCACCTAGCAGACTACGGCCAGCAATACAACCACATAAAAAAGAAAGAGAGAGCCATTTCTCGCTGGGACCTTGAAGACCAATTCCACGGCTTCAGTCGTGGCAGACGTGCTGTCAGGCCGCAGGACGACCATGATCGTGCTCGACAGGCTCAACGGTTGTTGCGACCTCTGGTATTCGACTTCCGAGAAATAGATGGGCGCCGACTGAGAAACAGGAGCCTTGTGCCATGTCTTCCCCGCGTATCCATTATAACAGGCTTGGAATTTCGTCGGCAATATAATCGCTGTCTCTCGACGGCTACTTTGAACAAAGTGCTCAACGAAAGCCTGCCAAACCTGACGACAATGCGCCACGAAAGATGGCGGCCAGGGGGCACAGATGCTTACATGGAAGGGTTGATATACGGAGACATTGCAGGATCGTTTTCCAAGATTGAGCTACGTGATCTCTTCCAGCCTCGACGTCCAGGTCTGCCATGCAACCTCACCCGCTTCCACGTGTTTGAAGACTTTGATATCAGACTCCATGGACGGCGACCAAGATTCTCCCGAATGGAGTTCCTGAGGAGGCTCAAAGCTATAGCTCCTACTCTCGAGCACCTCTCTGTGGCGTTTCTCACTGACGCTTGGACGCTTTCCGATCATATCAAGGCATCCGGGTGGAAACCCAAGATTCTATTCCCACGCCTCAAGTCACTAGCACTCACCTCGGAGGAACGGTTTGAAAATTTCCAGGGCCCTGCAAAAATCAGGAATTTTATTAACGCGGCCGCTAAAATGGCTGCAGGATCGCCGAAGCTTGAGATCATGGAGCTGTGGGATAAATACCATTTCTTCCGTTATGACAAGACGATAAGTCACGACACTAGTACGATCACGTACGCCAGCACATGCTACGAGCCGAACTTGTTGGATTCCAAGACGATCGAAGCATGGCGGGTATTGGATCCGTCAAGGGCGGTGGCATGCGAAACATGGCCACTACCAGAGGCTCGCTACTATTGCACTGGCACGATTCTACGGCACCTGAAGCTGAGGGAGATGATTCTCGATCCCGTTTCCCTCCTTCAACTGCGGGCAGAAGCAGGCGACTTTGGGCAACCTGAGGTGGCTGCTTACAGACCTTGAAGATATAGCTGGCAGGCAGCCATGGCTCAACTTGGGAGTAATTTGTATGTTCGCTTTGAAAATCGTTTCGATGTCAAACCATTGTTTATTATTGAATTTTGAGTCGTCGATCAGACGGAAAAATGCCTATGTAATACAAACAAATTAGTGTTCTGACCTTGGAAGCCAAATTACTCAGATTGGGAAGGCTAGCTCATGTTAGAAGAACGCAAGGACGACGCGAAGAAACTTCATATTCCTCTACAGCCTATCAATAGTTCGAACCCCATGACCCACAAAGTATTAGAGTATCACAGTTGGTTGCTTCGATCCATTACGTGTAATTATGTGATGTCAATAGAGATCTCAAACCCCAGTAGCCTAATAACCAGCCTTGATCCAATACCCATGGTATTTGCAACCACAGAAGACAACATCACACACCCAGCTGTCAAGTATCTGCTGACTGAAAGATTCCTTAAACAACCAGCCACTCCAACAGCCATACTGCTTTTACTCAGCAGGCATTGTCAAAGAATTGACTTTTACTGACAAGATGCAAATAAAGCAAGTGTGTTTGCTTGACACCTTGTGTGTTTCTATAACATCAACATGTTGAGTACATTCAAATCCAGCGAGAATTAAATATAGCCTTGGTAGCACGATAATTTACTACCGTGAGACAAGTCGGTTGAACATACCACAGTCACAAGCTATTTTACTGGGTCCAAATTCGGCAAGGTATAGACGTGTCGATCCTTGGTTTGATAAATTAATGCAACCATGCTGACATTCATGCCTACGTAGATAGGGTACACGCATAGATTTATATTGTATGTGAGTAGCTTTCAGAGACCGTGAAACATGCCGTGTTGAATTATCATCTATCATTTTTATGCCTTCCTTAACTCCTATTTGCAAGATGTTGTTGAAGACCTTGAGCGCCATGAGCGAAACAAATTCAAACAAACCACACCATCGTCAGTCATGACAAGTCACAATGCTTCAAGCCGCATTCGCAGCTTCTCTGCGCCTCTGCTCTTCCTCTAGGATTTCTCGCTGGCGAGCAGCTGCTTCCACGTCTGCCTTCTCGCCCTTCTTTCGCTGGCGCTCCTCATACATTGCACGGCTTTTCATGATACGTTGCACAATGGTACCCGCATTGACCTCTTCAAAGTCGTGGGCCCCGATTTCTCGGTAAATTTTCATCTCTTTAGGAGCCGTGTAAGGGTCGTATGTCAACGGCATGAATGATGTCGGTCCGTGATAGACGGCGTCGGGGGTCCCCCAAGGCAGCGAGGTCAAGTATGGCTTAGTTGGGGTGAAGGGAGCGCCGAAGACAACGGCGTTTACGTACTAAGAGAAGGTTAGCGGTGATGAGGCGGCTGGGTCTGCGAATTTCGACTACTCACCCTGCACTGCAGGACGCAGAGACCCCGCTCGAAGATGTTCATGATTGGGTAGTTCACTCCTTTCCAATGGTTGATGACTTCGTCGTCGTGGACGCCAGCAACAACGAACACCGGGCCGTAGTCTGAGCCTTTTCCTATTCTCTCATCCTTGGCTTGCTGAGAGTACCATCCCTCTTTCTCAGCGAGCTCCTCTTCTGCCTTGACAGCCAATCGCAGGAATTCGATATGACCACTGGAGAAGAGATCGAAGCCGCCGTCCACATACACCACTCGCTGGCCAGGCTTCGGCCCAGGGCCTTTGAATAGTGAATTGAAGGAGCCTTGCTCCTCAGAGCAGTCGTCTCTCTTCGCCTCTTTGGATGCAGACCAAAACCATACATCGGCGCCAGGGGCCAGAGCAGTCTCGTCTGTGGCGTACAGCTCCATCCTCTCTCGCATGGCCTTGCCCTCTGCCTGTCGCTCCGAGTCACTCCCATGGCCCTCCTCTCCGTCAAGCCTCTTTTTGAGCGATTTGATGAAGTGAGTCTTCGTGCAGAGCAACATACGGCCGACAAGGTCTGTTGTCGATATGCTAGGAGTCCGCTTAACAACCTTGAAACGCCCGGCCTGCTTCACGAAGCGGTAGCAGTCCTCGCCGCTGCTGTCGGACGTGATGTCGTCTCCATGGACGACGTATTTGCATCCGTAATGGCTGATCCAGTCGAGCTGTGTGACATACGGCGCGTATGCGACTGATGCAGTCACCCAGCGGCATGCATCAACAGCAGATAGCCTGGGGCGACCCCTTTTAGCACGACGAACTAGTAACTGGTCCATGGTGAGGTGTGCTCTTACCTTTCTTGTAAAGTCATGACTGTCGGGCCTTTGTTCTCAAGAATGGCCTCATCAGAGTGCACACCGACATAGAGCTCAGTGCCGAGTTGGCGGGCTTGAAGCATGGCTCCGGCATGGCCTAGTAGAAGAAGGATCAGCATCTAGATTTGATTAGATAGGGGTCCGTGACCAACCGTGATGAAAGAAGTCCCAGCACCCATCAACCCAGATCCTTCCTTCGAGTAGTTCTGGGGCTGGCTCGCCTGGAGGGTTGACCGGATCTGTGGTAGACATAGCTTGATGATCCAAGAGGACTTCACCGCTGAGTGCGAACGGCTTAATGCTGGGCGGGATGCGATATGCTTGCCAACAGCAAGAATGGCCTGGTTTGAGGTGTAATAGGAGATGAAAAACCTGTAGTGACTAGAGCCGCCGAAAGGAGACTTGTGACGACACAATTGATCTGTGGCAAGATGCTCTATCACAAGCTTGACTTGAGAATCGAGCTTCAACTGCCTGGCTTGTGATTGGAGGCTCAACCAAATTGCCAACCGCCCCGAAATTCGGATGGAGAGAGACTGTTGGTACCCCTCAACCCCCACCCTCCACGCAAACAACAACCAGTTTACAGGGTCTTCTAGAAGACGTTGTAGGGCAAATCGCTGCGCTAGAAGGACCCACATGTCAAGCAAGTCGAAGCCGCAACGTCCAGGAACAGTAATCTAAGTAGCCAACAAGGTCAGCCACAGGCCCCTTATCAGTGCGATTGTTTGGCTGCACCGAGTGCGCCTTCTTGCTTGCCCTTGCATAAGCGTCTGCTTAGCTGTAGGGTAGCTGGGTAGGAAGCAAACAGTCCCATTGCTTTTGCGAACAGACCTGAGTGAAAGGGTTTCAGAATGGCCCAGTCTGGGAGACGGGGGATCTGTCTGGCCTGCCTACGGTTTGACATGGGTGATGGAGCGCACTGGAAACTGTCAGACCCGAACGCCTGGGCGTTTGCTCTCGCGGCTGAAGTGTGGTTTCCGCGCCGGGAATGACTATTTCCATGATGCTCTAACAGACAGATAGTATAAGCCGGCTCCCGTGATCAATCTGCGGCGGCATTAAGAGCGTCTCATATAGGGGCCAAGCGGGTAAGGCCAGCTTAGCTATCTCTTGTCTGTCTGTCTGTCTGTCTATCTATCTGTTCCCTCCCACCTAGACTCTCGATCACGACATCACAGCACATCACATCCCGCTCGTTATTGCTTCACTTCTTATATAATAATCATTGAAACTTAAGCCAGATCTTCCACTGCTAGAAACACGCCTCAACTTTGGGTGCGCCTGCAGCAGAGATTACTGCTACAGGGTCCAGCGATCAGCACCAATCAACCACACGCCCCTCTAGCCCTGAATGACCTGACCCATCGGCGCGCAAAATAGGGATGCGCTAGAGCCAACGACTGGCTGCTGTCCCCCCTAAACAGGTAGAATTACCACGCAGTAAAAAGGGAGCCCACTCCGCTGGCCCCAGCAGCCATGCAGAGGGCGGGCAATACACCGACGCAGAATGTCACTCCTTTCTTCTCTTCCTCGAATTTCTTCGGCGGCAGCTCCAACAGCAACCTGAGCAGCAGCAGTAACAGCAGATCGCGGCCAGGAACCAGCTCGGGCGATCCAGGCGCGCAGCAGTCCGACCAGCAGCCGCCGCAGCGGAACGTGCTCACCAAGGACCGCAAGGGCTCCTTCAGCCGCAAGTCGTCCTTCTCGTCCCCGGGCAAGAAGAGCAGGAGTAACTCGATCGCCGCCAATGCTGGCCCTGGCGCCGGCGGCCTGAGTGGAGGACGTCCTGGGATCACCGTCATCACCGACAACGCCGTCCCGCCTGCCTTGCCGGACTTTGCCCTCGCCGCGGCCGCGAAGCTGTCCCGCGACACTGAGGCCCTCCAGTCGCCCGCTTCGACCGAGTCCTTCTCCAAGATGTTGAGTCGCACGGCCCCGACGCCCGTCAATGGCTACTCGGCCTCGTCCCTTGGTCCCTCCGCTGCTGGAGGGACGCAGACAGAGTCATCCATGGTTCACCAGCACATACAAGAGATGGCCAACAAGAGGATATCAACGTTAGACTATTTGCGCAAAGCGTGAGTGTTCACCCTTCACATAAAGACATGTGATAGCATTCCTTGGACATAAACTGACAACCCCGACTCTACAGGCACGAAGGCCGCGTCTACTGGTTCAACACACTGCTGTTCGACAAGCCAGACCTGGCGCGCATGCCGTATTTCGACTCACGCAAGCTTGCCCGCCGCGCCACCAACTACCTCCTCCTCGGGCTCTCTCTCCCCGTAGTGGTCGACCTCTACGCCTCTACGCCCATCGAGTTCCTGCGGAGTCTCAACACGCTGCTGACCGAGTTCGACTCCTTCCAGCAGCTGCACTCCGAGAGCGGCGGCGCTTCAAGCTCGCTGTCGCGCGCCCGCCTGCCGCAGATGTTCCGGAGGACGGCGCCGGGCTCCAAGGGCCGTCGAAGCAGCGCGGCCAACGACATCGGGTACCCGCTGGAGCCGACGGACAGCAACGGCGGCAGCAGCGCCGCCGCCTCGTCCTCAGTGGGCTCGGGGACCGTCATGAACTTCGCGGCGAGCGAAACGGATCTGCTACCGGGCGAGGAGTACACCCATCTCTTGACGCCCAGCCTGCCGTTCGACCCGGACTTCTTCGAGACGTTCGCCACGCTGTGTGACGTCCTCATAGACTGCTACACGAAATTACTGAGCCTCGTACCCACCCCCCGCGAGTGCTCAGGGCCCGTCGCGGAGTTATTTACGAAAGCGGACTCAAAGGTCCGCAAGATTATCATCCAGGGAGTCGTCAAGGAGTTCGAGGACTCGAGTCGAAGTGGAATCAAGACCGAGGTGGCCAATGTTGGCAAGGTTGTCTTAGGCGGGCTGATGTAGAGCTATCTTTCCGGCGACAATCGTTGAAATCGCACATTGGCATACCGGGTGTTTTTCACTTGTTTGGCATGTTTGCATTGGGGCTGATTGCTCTACGATATCCTGGTCGGCGTTATTTGGAGCACTTATGGGGTTGACCTATTGAGATGCGTCGTTGGACGGAAACATCTGATAGGCGACGAATGATATGGGAATGATTGATAGTGTACGAGAGCCATGAGACCTCATCGTGCTCGCCTTCATGTTCGGAGCAGTTGATGTATATATTCTACATACTGAGCATATAGCTCGGATCGAAGTCATCTACACCCCATCAGGGTACCTCTATGGCAATGCTGCTCGCTCGGAATCAAGGCCACTTGGCCCAAGGAAGATAATTAAAAACAAGTTCATCAGAAACCATAACGCATTATTTAATCGTCAGCGTGGTTTACCCCCTTTTAGGTAGGCTCCACTCAGTGCTTGACTCTATAATGATCTTCATCATATGAACTGTTCTCCCCAAGAACGAACCAGGCATTCAGTCACAGGATGGTCGACAAGAGCTCCCCACGAAGCTTAGAGTTAAAAAATGTCGACAACCTCCAGTGACATGAAGCCATGTAAGAGGTGTGAACCCCCTCGCACCAAGAATAAGCCCCATCGAGTAACCCGCGCCAGGCCCGAAGACGCCAGCGCGGGCAATCGCATACCTATCAAATCTCGACGAAATCTTCTCCAGCCAGTCATGACGTCCCCAGCCCAGACCGCCGAACGGCTGCCCGTCATCGAACGGCGACCCGTAGATCGCAGCAACCTGACCCAAGTGGCCCAGGGCGCGGACTCATATCTTCGTCCATGGGGTCCCCGAGCCTGGAAAGAGGTGATTGAACCACGGGCCAGAACCGAAAGATGTAGCGACAAGGCAGGGCAGGCTAAAGACAGGCAAGGGACAGGCGGCGGAGATCAGCCGCAGTGCTTCTATGGCGGCGCTTTTCAGCGTTCCTCCAGATGGAGGATTGTCCGGGGACTTTCTCCCGAAGCATTGGAAATGAGACGCAACTCCCGAGGGGAGAAGCTTCTCCGTTTGTGGCTTCGATGGCGATTTGTTGGGCGAGGGGGTTGAAAGAGAGAAGGAGAAGGAAAGTAAATATTCTTTTCGAGTTTGGCAGTTTTTTTTACAAGCTCAAGCTAGCGGCTTGGTGGGGCTCTTCCAGCCCCCAGCTTCCCATCTACCAACCAACCAGTGGCGCAGGCAGCAGGGACGACATGACCTTTGCTCATTGTGGCTTTCAACCTTAGAAAGAGTGCGCGAACTTCCAACTGCCAAACCCGCGACAAGCTTCGAGCTCTTTCGGAGCAGCCCACAACGCCGCCTCATACGAACACATTTCAACCTTCGCACCTCTCCTCCATGCAACTCTCTGTACTTGCGAAATCACTCTTGCTTTGAGGAGGACAGAACAAGCATCTCGGGGTAGAATCGCTGCTACCATGTCGGGTCTCTTCGGCACCGCAGCTTCGTCCGCTGGGGCTGGTGCCAACACGGTTGGCGATCTGAAGCAAGACGTGCAGGTTGCGAATTCTCCAGAGGACAGCATTTCCGATCTCGCCTTCAACCCCAACCAGGCGGACCAGAAGGATTTCCTGGCCGTAGCATCATGGGACAAGAAGGTCCGCATCTACGAGGTCCTGCCTAACGGTCAGGCCGAAGGCCGACATGCCTACGACCACGATGGTCCCGTTTTCAGTTGCGATTATCACAAGGTGAGCAGAACTTGAGCTGATTTCTCAACCGTGATACCTTTTTTTAATGTAATTCTCAGGATGGAACCAAAGTTGTCTCCGCCTCGGCAGACAAACAGGCCAAAGTCTGCGATTTGAACACCGGCCAGACGGTTCAGGTTGCCGCCCACGACCAGCCGATCCGATGCGTGCGATTCTTCGATGCCTCGGGAACATCGATGGTGGTGACAGGATCGTGGGACAAGACGGTGAAGTACTGGGACATGCGCCAGAGCACAGCCGTGGCGACCCTGCAGTGCCAGGAGCGAGTCTACACCATGGATGTGCGGGACAACCTGCTCGTGGTTGGTACTGCTGACCGGTACATGAACGTGGTCAACCTGAAAGAGCCGCAGAAATTCTACAAGACATTGCAGAGTCCCCTTAAGTGGCAGACCAGGGTCGCTAGTTGCTTCACTGACTCAAAGGGCTTCGCTATCGGCAGCATTGAGGGCAGATGTGCGATCCAGTATGTCGAGGACTCAGATGCGAGGTAGGTCGACTACTTTCCCCCTTCTACCGCCAAGGGACCTTTTTGCTAATCAATCACAGTTCCAACTTCTCCTTCAAATGCCACCGAGACCCGCCCCAGGGGACAGTTACCAATGTCTACGCCGTCAACGACATCTCCTTCCACCCGGTTCACGGCACCTTCTCTACCGCCGGCTCAGACGGCACGTTCCACTTCTGGGACAAGGATGCCAAGCACCGTCTCAAGGGATACCCCAACGTCGGTGGAAGCATCACCGCGACCACGTTCAACAAGAACGGAGCCATCTTCGCCTACGCCGTTAGCTACGACTGGTCGAAGGGATTCCAGGGTAACAACCAGCAGTATCCGACCAAGGTCATGCTGCATCCTGTTCAGCCCGACGAGTGCAAGCCGCGCCCTAGTGTGAAGAAGCGATAAAGGAGCTGTCATGGAGGGAGCACCTTGAGAGCATGGCATTCAAGGATGAAGTGTATTGGAAGGCTCGTATCGGCAGAGGGGCGTAATTGTGCGTGCCATGTGGGAGTATTTAGGTAGTATTCACGGACACTGGCAACTGTTTGACTGGAAGGAAAAATGGACTTTATGATACCAGCGTTAGATATGTAACAAACAGTCAATGACATTTTGACCAACCCATGCATCGTAGTAACCACCTATAAGGCACATTGAGGGGTGGAGGTCACGAAGCGGGACGTATGGCTATTCTTAGTTTTGTCCGAAGGTCGGACAGCGAAAATTGTATTAGAAAATTGTATCAGTAGCAGTCATTTTGGTGGTAGGGACCGATTCCAATCCCAGAACCCTTTTG